TTTCCAGCGGACTACTGGAACATAAAAAAAAAAAAAAAAAAAAAAAATGTGAGAGACGCCTGGGTGGTTAAGTGGCTGAGTGTCTGCCTTTGGCTTAGGGCATGATCCCTGAGATCTGGGATTGAGTCCTGCATCGGGCTTTCTGCATGGAGCCTTTCTCCCTCTGCCTGTGTCTGCACCTCTCTCTCTCTGTGTGTCTCTCATGAATAAATAAATAAAATCTAAAAAAAATTAAAAATTTAAAAAATGTGAGAAATTAAATAGGCTTATTGGGTATGTTAAATTACAAGGCAACATTGTTCAAGAAGTTATAGTAAACCCTCTTAGATTATATTTATGAAGATATATTAAAATAAATCTTCTAAGAATTATATGAAACTCCTAGCAATCTGATATCTTGGGATATCATTATCTTGAAGTGATGTGTCAGAAAAATAGCCAAATTTGTCAATTTCATTGTAATGATCTCTAATCATATATGTAACCATGGCTTTATTTAAGTCTTTTATCATTTACAGACAGTTATACTTTGACTCCGGTGCATTTACAAAAACCCCCTGCAGTTTGCTTCACCTTCAATGAGACTCATGGAAAAAAACTCGGAGTACAGGTTTCTGATAATCTTAAGATCATAAACTGAACTAAGTAAAAATTTCTGAAGCTCATAGATAAATTAGAGTGAAGCAGAACAATAATTAATAACACGGATTGAATGAACTGAAGAAGATAACTAAACCTTTTATGACCTCTTGTTTGAAACATTGCTGACTTTAAAAATTTTATTTTTTCCAGATTTAAGTAAACTTTTTCTCTTAAGCAGACTTACAGCAATTTGATAAAATATACCTTTGTGAACAAATTTGAACATTTACCTTTTCTCCCTACGTGAACCCTACAGAGTTCAGAAACTCTCAGAGAGAACTCTCATATTTTTATGGCAATATATTTATTTGCATAAGTTCAATAAGAATCTGTTCTCCTTACGACAGAACACAATCGGAAACACAGGTTATTTCACCAAGGCTTTGACTGGTGAATGACATGTACAATCTCAGATATGACCGGACAGCTTTAAAGAACTAAAGTTGACTTTATGGAGCCAATAAAGCCCCTTGGAAATCTCAGCCTGATACCTTGCTTACAGAGGTCCCAGCAGCCTTACCAGGTGAGCAAAGAAGGTCACTTCCTGGGGCACCTGGATGGCTCAGTGGTTGAGTGGTGCTTTTGGCTCAGGTCGTGATCTGGGGGTCTTGGGATGGAGTACCACATCAGGCTCCCTACAGGGAGTCTGCTCCTCCCTCTGCCTATGTCTCTGTCTCTCTCTGTGTGTCTCTCATGAATAAATAAATAAAACCTTAAAAAAAATAGAAGGCCACTTCCTGGCAGGTGCAGGAACCTCAGGATATTTTGGGGACCTCCAAAAAGAGGAATTCATCCAAATCTAAATGTATTACAGGCAAAGTCTGATGGCAAATATTTGGCTTGGCTTTTGGTGTTGAGAGGCTTTTAAAATTTCAATCTAGCAATTCTTTATGAAAAATTCCAGCAAAGCAGGTTTTTAAAAGCTTATATAATGAACTACTGTTTTTGTTGCACTTATGCAAATAATCAGGCCATGGGGTTTTTTTGAGTGTGTGTGTTTTTATCTATTTTTTAAATTTTTAAAAAGATTATATTTACTTGAGAGAGAAAGGCTACGGTTTTTTGAAATGACTTATTTTGCAAACAAATTTGTGTTAATTTGGCTGTCTTTGTTAAAAATGAGGGTAATTTATAGAGAGAATATATATTTCAATAATATATCTTTGGGGGGGATATTAGATTTTAATACTATTCATTCTAAACTGGACTAGATTCTGATTTCTTCTACTGTGCCCCAATGACTGGCCAGAACTCTCCAAACTAACATTTTGATTTTTCTCCCATTTTTCTGACTTGGAATCATTTGAGAATTAAAACTGCCTTTTCCCCTGAAGTCCTGCAAACTAAATACAAATGACTTGATGTTAACTTCAGAGAAATTCCCACAATAGCTCATAAATAGATAATCTTCATGCCTATTGCTCAGTAGACCACTCAGAGATCGCCAGACATTTGAACTACATACAAACCAGGAAGATCTGTGGGATTGCCACTACTTGCCCTCACTCTATCTGGAGAGGCTTTAAGTCAAGACATCTAGAAGTCTTCTCAATTGGCTACCCTCAGAACTCAGAAACTGGCTTAATGTTTGAAGCAATCAATGACCATTATTTTTCTTTTGTCTCCATAGACCTACCTTTTATTTAATCCCTGATTACTTGAACCATAGGCCTACCTTTGGGAATACACCTGCATCACTGCCTCCTGAAATACGTTTGACTGAATTGACCTACTGTGAGGACTAAGAGATGGTTCAATGAAATAATACAACCTACTAGCTCAACTTTCAATATGTGAAACTTCCGGAAAGTTTCAGAAGAAGGAACTGTCGGGGCTGAAGGTCGGCTGCCCCTATGATGGCTATTTTGACATGAAGATTATTCTGGGCTGAAGGGAATTGAGACCAGTGGACTCAAGAGAAGCTTTTGCCCCTCCCTTAGCCACATAGAGGGATCTAAATGAGAGTTTTTCACAGAATAATGGTTATTAGCAGAGATAAATTTTATTTGGGTGATCCATCTGTATGGCAGGAGAAACATCTAATTTCCAAACATCTGCTCTTCTTACCACCCTGTGAGGTACATTCCTTCCCTTTGAAGTCTCAGAGCCCTACCCCTACTCCTCAGTTCAGGATGACATATATACCTCATTTTGCCTGTCTTTGGAATTTCCATGTCCAGTGGGTTCCCTGTATGTATGCTTTAAATTTGATTGTCTCCTGTTAATCCGTCTCTTGTCAATTTGATTCTTAATCCAGCTAGGTGTACCTTGAATGGGACAAGAATTCTTGGTCCTTGTCACTGTTATCCAAGTCATGCTATTCTACTCTATCTGGGCATTAGTGTCATCAGTTTATTCTCATTGGCATGGCTTTTCATTATCTGGATGAAACTTTAATCATATGTAACCTTAGTGAATTTCATTATGACTATCCACCGTCAAATTATTTTTTAAACACATCAATTACCAAATTTTTAATAGGTTTGTGTTCAGGGAAGATCTGTTTATCTTCTCTCAATAGCTCTTGTTTGTCAGTCACTACTCTAACCACTATAATAGATTTTCCTGGATTGTATTCAGACTCCTCTTTCAAAAAAACTTTCAAAGTCTTTCCCATAAAGGTTTTCCAAGATTCCCACAGTACCAATAGGATAAATAAGTTAGCCCTTATTATAATGAATAATGAATGAACTATACAGTTATGGAGACTTGGAAGTTCAGGAGAGACCTTCTAAATGCCCACCGCAGACTTGACCATTCTTCTAATCTGAATTTAAGAGAAAATGTAACTGCTATCTATGGAGTCTACATTTTGCCATGTGAACTAGAAATCAGACATTTTACTTCATATTTAGCTAGTGGAAACTCTCATGGTGGATAGAGTTTCTAAATACCAAGGAAAGGATAACAATGAGGAAATAAGCAGAATGATCCCTAGTAGAATTTTTCAATATCTACTTTGAGAGCTGTTTAAAGGGCTGAAACAGTTGGTGAGAAAAGGAAAACAGTGGTTTTGAGGGATAAATAACTGGCCAGCAGATGAAAGGCCAGTCCTCTCAGAATGAAAATTATGTACAATAGCAAGGAGGAAATGAAAACAGCAAATATATATATATATATATATATATATATATATACACACACATATATATAAAGTGAGTATATATATATTTATATACAAATACATTTATATATCTATGTATTTTGTAAATATGAATATATGTGTAATTACACAGCATATAAATATATCTGCAGAGCTTGACTCCAAATTAATAAAGGTTCATAGAAGCAGCATGTTGTAAAGTCATGATAAGAGGCAGATTTAAGGCAGGGAAATACCACTCATGTAATGTTTTAAAACCCTAAAACCATCACAGCAGATAAAGAATGAAGAGAGAGTAGGGACTGGGCAGTGTGAATCTGGACTTGTTGGAAAGGTGCTCATCTAACTAGAGATAAAGAGTTTTGATCTCTGTCTTCTGAGTAGCATCTTGGTTTCACAAATGAAGAAATTTAAAACCTAGAGTGGTTAGAGACCCTTAATCTGAGTTAGGCCTGAGTGGCTCAGGGGCTGAGCCTCTCTGCCTTTGACTCAGGGCCTGATTCTGGGGTCCTGGGATCCAGCCCCGCTTGGGGCTCCCCACAGGGAGCCTGCTTCTCCCTCTGCCAACGTCTCTGCCTCTCTGTGTCTCTCATGAATGAATAAATAAAATCTTTTAAAAATCCCCCCAAACCTAGAGTGGTTAACAAAACTTGTAAAGCTTCTGTACTCAGTATGTGTTCCCTGGACCTGCCGCGTTGGAATCACCTGGAACCTCGTCACAAATAGAGATTCTTAGGTCCTGCTCCAGATCTACTGAAACAAAATCTGCATTTTAACAAAAGACCCAGAGGATTGCTCTTACAGTTTTAGTTACGATAGCCTAAAGGCCGAGGAGCAGGACACCCAGGGGGCCTGACTCTGCTTCCATTGAATTCCTCTGTTACTGTTACATTTTGCCGCTTTAAGAGACTCCCTGGGCAGGCGCATCACTTCCACTGCTCTTTAAGCTTTGTCTTGAGAGAGGTCCAGGAAAACGCCCACCCCCCAGGGCCATCTTAAAATTCTGTTAGGCCACGAGAAAGGGAGATGGCTCTGGGATTTGGGCTGTCCTAGAACGTTTCCAGCTTCTCTGGTGACAGCTGCGATCCCGGCGTTCTTTCCCCGGACGCCCGCGTTCTCCATTCGCGAAAGCGACTCACAAAGTTTAGGCGGCACCGGGGGGTGGAGCTGCGCGAGCGCGCGGCGTCCGTCGGTTGCCTAGCGACGGCGTCCGCGCGGGCCCTCTGTAGGTCAAGTCAGCTGCTGTTTGCGGGTCACCCAGGGGGCCACCATGGAGGCCGAGAGGGGCTCCCTGGTCCCCCGGGACGGGGAGGCTCTAAAGAAGGAGGTGCAGCTGCGGGTGACCCCTTCGGAGGTGAAGTTCCTGGACGCGCTGGCCGGGAGGGTGTACCGCCTCCCAGTTACTGTGCACAATCTCGGCCGTTCCAACCAGAAAATCCGGTTTCAGGAGCCCCTTAAGCCACAGGTAACACACTGGGGGGGTGCTGGAGCAGGACCTCAGGAGAGTGGGGGCTCCGAGAACGCCTCCCCAACTGGGGGGGCGGGGCGCCGCTTTGTCCGAGAGAGGCCGCCCGGCTCCTGCGGGAGTGGGGGCAGGAGTGACCTTCCCCGGAGCCAGCGGCGATTTAGGTCTCCGTGTTGACGTGTGCTAGCCTTTTTGTTTTGTTTTGCTTTGCCTTGTTTTGTGAGTGTTGTGGTTTGGGGAGACAGGGTGAGGAAAAGTCGACCTGGAACCTCCCAAGTTCATCCTTCTGGGTTTGGAAAGAAGGGAGAGGGGGTCCCGTGTCTGTGTCCCAACAGCGCAGAATTTATGCTTTCACACTGCAGAGTCACATCCACAAAATGCTCTATTAACTACCCTTTGAATCACGAAGCGCCTGAGATACTCCAGGAGAGTGGAAAGGTTTACCATTTCGTAGTCTAACAAACATTTGTTGAACACCTACTATGTAATAGGCAGTAGGTGTGAGGAATATAACATGAACACAGCCCTACCCTCAGAGGACTTAGAAACTGGGGGAGGGGGGAGTCAGTACAGGTCATCAGCAAAATTAATGTTCTGAGACGCTGTCCCCATCTTCTGATTTCATAGTGGACAGAATTCCATCTTGGGGCGCCTGCGTGGCTGAGTCAGTTAAGGTTCTGCCTTCGGCTCAAGTTAGGATCCCGGGATCCTGGGATAGAGCCCCCTCTGCCCTCCTTCCCCCACCCCCCACGCTCTTTCCCTCTCTATCTCAAATAAATAAATAAAATCTTAAATCAGTACAGTGGTCACTCCCATGGTGTGATTATTCCAGGTACTTAAGGGAACATTCTAGAGTGGTGGGAATATTCTACGATTTGACACAAATGGTGGCTACATGGGTGTGTTTATATAAAGATTCATCAAAATTTACCTTCGAGATTTGTGTATTAGGTAAATTTTTAAGTGTAGAAAGTAGAACATGAAAGGCCTTTTTCTTGCTGTTCTAATCACTACTATACATTTTCCTATGTGTATACAAATATGTCATTTTAACAAAAAAATCATAGATACCTTTCTATTTCTGTACCTATAAGTCCAGCTGCATTCAATACTATTTATCATTAGGAATGTTCCACTAAAAAATCAACTTATTTATCACTTACATGTCAAAAATTCTTATCCTTTCCTATATCAAGTCTCCTGATAACAGGTGATCATAGTAAACATTCACTCATACACATGATCTAAAATAAGAGTGAGATTGAGATACGATTTTTTTAATTATTATTATCTATTTGAGAAAGCACATGCAGGGAGGAGAGGTAGAAGCTGGCTTCCCGCAGAGCAGGGAGCCCCACGCTGATCAGGGAGCTACACTGCAGAGTTGGGTCTCAGGATCCCACAATCATGACCTGAACCGAAGGCAGATGCTTAACTGACTGAGCCCCCCAGGCGCCCCTAGACTCCTTTTTCTTTTGACCCATGTTTTCATTCCCACCTCCTGCAAGAATCACCCTTTTCCAAAGCTCACCCATCTTTGAGGGTCTAAGTGAGTTCTCTTTTACTCTCTAAATCTCGTCATATTATCTCCAAATTATTTCTTCTTTACTGGATACCAGTTGAATTAATAAACATTTATTATAGTTTGGACTTGGGTCCCCATGACGTCTAGTAATGTTAGTTTTACCTCAGTGGTGCCTCCTACCATTAGCTCCTAGGTAGGGATGGTGCCTTATACACCTTTGTGTTCAGCTCAGAGGACTCAGCAACTTGTAGTTTGACCAGGAGCACATGCTGCTGAAACCCTGGTTTTCCTTTTTTTTTTTTTTAATTTTTAAAAAATATTTATTTGAAACGATTTTATTTTAGAGTGAGCATGAGCAGGGGAGGGGCAGAGGGCAAAGAAGAAGCAGACTCCACACTGAGCAGGAAGCCCCACATGGGGCTCCATTCCAGCACCCTAGGATCATGACCCAAGCTGAAGGCAGACAGTTAATGGGCCGAGCAACCCAGGCTCCCCGTCCTGGTTTTTCTTCTTGAAGATACAGCTTCTTTAAAGATAGTCACACCCGATTTGTGTACTTCTAACACTCCAAGGCTTATGCAGGGAATAATTGATCGCTTGTCTTCTTGCTGTTATGTAATTGCAGGGGGTTTGAGAGTTGGACTGTGATGGTTTTAAGGTATCAGAAGTTTGCTGGAAGTATGAAGCTTTCAGACTGTTCAACAAAATCACTCCACTGCCCTATGTCCTTCATTGCTGGAAAGTACTCCTTAGACTCAGCCTGGCATTTTGAAAAGCTCTGAATAATTAATTTCAACAGACCTCCCTTGTTACTGATTGAAGCTCTTTGCCCAGCAAGGGTAGCTTATTAGTTGCCTGCTGGGAGACTATTTTGCTTGTTCTTTTTTTTTTTTTTTTTTTAAGATTCTATTTATTTGAGAGAGAGAAAGCATGAGTAGGGGAATGGGCAGAGTGAGAGGGAGAAGCAGACTCCCCACTGAGCAGGGAGCCTTACTGAGCCAGCCAGGTGCCCCTATTTTGCTTATTCTTTTCTCTATTTGCATCTGAGATATTCTTGCCCCCACAGGGAGCACCTTACTTTCTCATCTTTCACAACCATTCTCTAAACCTAGGCCAAGTACACTCCTTTCTGGCCCATAATAATCATGTTTTTTTCATGGATTTCCATTACTTATGTCTCATTTACCCATAAGACACTTAATTAGTCCTTGGCTTGTATTATTTAACTTTCTAGGGGTATATAGTCTACTTCCTTAAGGAGATTATATATTCAGGAGAGGGACTCTTTCTAGTTGTGGGGAAAGAGCTTACACTTTAGAGTCAGATAGATGTGTGATTTGAATCCTGTCAGTGACATTAGACATTAATTAACTTCTACAAGTCCCAGTTTCCTCATCTATATTCTGGGAGCCTTAACATCAGCCTTATAGGACTGCAGAACTATATGGTGTGAGATAAGAGATGGAGAATGCTTAACCTTGGGCAGCCCTGGTGGCTCAGCGGTTTAGCGCCGCCTTCAGTCCAGGGCCTGATCCTGGAGACCAGGGATCTAGTCCCACGTCAGGCTCCCTGCATGGAGCCTGCTTCTCCCTCTGCCTGTGCCTCTGCCTCTCTGTCTCTCATGAATAAGTAAATAAAATTAAAAAAAAAATGCTTGACCTATTGAGAGCCCAACACATAGTAGTTCTTCTCTTTCTCCCTTCATATTTTTCCTGGAGTCTAGCGAATGGTTTACAAGAATGAAAGTGTTGGAGAAAATAAGGAATAAAACCTCTTATTCTATTCAGTTTTTGTTTTTGTTTTTGTTTTTTAATGCATGAGAGACACAGAGAGAGGCAGAGACATAGGCAGAGAGAGAAGCAAGACCCTGGGATCATGACCTGAGCCAAAGGCATATGCTCAACCACTGAGCCACCCAGGTGCCCTATTCATTTTTTATATTTCCTCCAGATTATGGATTCTAAGTCCCCATGCAAAAACTATATAAAATGCTATATGGGGGTGTCTGGGAGGCTCATTTGGTTAACTGTCTGCCTTCAGCTCAGGTCGTGATCCTGGAGTTGCAGGACTGAGCACTCCCCATGGGACTCCCTGCTCAGCGGGGAGTCTGCTTCTCCCTCCCCGTCTGCCTTTACCCCTAGTCCTGCTCTCTCTCTCAAATAAATAAAATCTTTAAAAAATGCTATATGTATATGTGTATACATACATATGTATATATGTAAGCATGTGTGTGTTATGTATATATAGATGATTGAGCAACATTTTTGTTAGATTGCTCTCCCTTTTTTCTCTATTTAAGTACCTCAGACTTCGAAAGGAGTCTATGAGCATTTACATGATTCTCACCTGACTGCATTGTCAGTTTCAGTCCATGTACTGCTTTTTTTTAAAAAAGAGTTTTTATTTATTTGTTCATGAGACAGAGAGAGAGGCAGAGAAATAGGCAGAGGGAGAAGCAGGCTTCTTGCAGGGAGCCCGATAGGGGACTCGATCCCCGGACTGGGATCATGCCTTGAGCCAAAGGCAGACACTCAACCGCTGAGCCACCCAGGTGTCCCTCAGTCCATGTTCTGTTAAAAGCATATCTGCAGGATCTAGAATCTGACACATTCATATATGGTAATTAAGTCTTTGCCTTTAGGGAAGGAATATTGTCTATGTATTGACCTAACTCTTGAAATAATGTATACTTCTAACTGCTGTTGCTCACATTATTTCTGTATTAGGAGTTAAGATGTTTCATTTGATTTTTTTTTCCTTCCACTAAAGTTCAAATTGATGTTGACCAATCTGGATAAAGCACTTGCTTCTGGACTTCAGATGACAGTGATGGTGGAATACCATCCAGATAAAGATGAAGACACTTTTGACCAGCTACTTATTTCAATAGGAAATAAAACAATAGAGATCCCTCTAATTGGGTATGTATTCTCCATATTTTATGCTGACGTTTTCAGCATTCTTCAAATGAAAATAAGGGTCAAAGTAATATTTTGTATTTTCTCTGGACAATAGGGCTTGTTGTATCCATAGTTTCCTTACAGCCAAACTTAAAGGACAAATTTTTAAGAAACTGTGGTGTTTAAAACAAATGGAGGACTGGTTTTCTGGTATTTTTAATTTTTAAAAATTTTTTATTTAAAGATTTATTTATTTTACAGAGAGAGAGCGAGTGAGTGAGCATGGGGGTGGGGAAAGGCATAGGGAGAAGGAGAGAGAGAATCTCCAGCAGACTCTCTGCTGAGCCCACAACTGGGCTCAATTCCATGACTCTGATATAACCTGAGCCAAAATCAAGAGCCACTCAACCAATTGAGCCACCCAGGCACCTCTATTTACTTATTTAGTTTAGAGAGAGCTATTTACTTATTTAGTTTAGAGAGAGAGAGCTAGGGCACATGCAAGCAGGGTAGGGGCAGAGGGAGAGAGAGGGAGAGAATATCCAGCAGACTTCCTGCTGAGCATGGAGCCTTTCCTGTGGGGCTCAATACCATGACCCCGAGATCATGACCTGAGCCTAAATCAAGATTCCAACAACACATGGAGACACCCAGGTACCCCAAGCTTTCTGGTATTTTTAAATAAAAAACATTCAATAATTGCATGTATTCTGTTTTTTCCCCTTGGTTCACATCCTATTTTATTTCTACCGTGTTTTTTGGTACCTTTGATGGCAAAACTTATTAAATAAAGCTCTATTACTGTCTTTACAGTCTCACATTCTACTCTCACTTCAAAACCCCAGACAGGTTGTCTTCCTGAGCTTTCCAGTGAATTACCTCTTGCGTGTTGCCAATCTGTTGGTAATTCCTGTCTTTACCTTACTCCATTTCTCAGCAGCATTTGACACTATTAACCATTATTGCCTTCTTGTGCCACTTTATTCTCTTGACTTCCTTGATACTATACTTTTTCAATGGCTGCTCCTTCTCATCTTACTTTTCTTTGTTTTATTGAAATGCAATTGACACAAAGCATTGTACAAGTTTAAGTTAGCATGCTGGTGTGATATATTTATGTATTGCAATATGATTACCACTCTAAGGTGAGCTAATACCCCTATCACATTACATAGTCACCATTTCTTTTTTGTGGTGGGAGCAATTAAGATCTAATCTCCTTGTAACATTGAAGTTTATAATATGATGTTGTTGACTATAATCACTATGTTGCACATTAGCTCTCCAGGACTTATTTATCTACTAGTTCCCTATTTGTATCCTTGCCCAACATCTCACCAATTTCCCCATGCCCTAGGCTCTGGTAACCACCATTCTACTCTCTATTTTTATGATGACTATATTCTTAAATGGATTGTGAACTTGTATCCATAATTTAATTTAATTATTGCCATGACTACTTCACTAAATTTTAAATAATGCAGATGTTTGACTTAAAAAAAATCTAAATTGTGCTCTTTTGAGATTGGTTGAAAAATGTGGACTGATATAATGAATATAACACAGAAGTAAGTACGGTTGACCCTTGAACAATGTAGGAGTTAGAGCTGCCAACCCTCGTGCAATTGAAAATCTGTGTATTAACATTTGTCTCTCCCTACTAATAGCCTACTGTTGACTAGAAGTCTTATTGATAACAGTCAGTTAACACATATTGTGTATGTTATATGTCTTATATACTGTAATTTTACAATAAAGCTAGAGAAAAGAAAATTTTAAGAAAATCATAAGGAAGAGAAAATGCATTTATAGTACTGTATTATAAAAAAATCTGCATGTAAGTGCACTGAGTTCAAACCTGTGTTGTCCGAGGATCAACTGTAACTGATTTGGAGATTAACTTTGATACAAATTATTTATTTGACCAGGAAATTGCCATTTTCATTTTATGTTGAAAAAAGTATACTTTTGTTCATCATAAAATTACCTGTTAAGACTAGTGTGAAAAATTGTATTTTTTATTCATATTCATACACATATGAAGCCACCTTTTCCTTAGCAAAATGTGATTCCATAGATATTCTTCTTTTGTGTCTATTTGTCTAACACCAGCAGAATTAATATTGGAATATTAGTATTAATATTGCTATTAGACATGCCTTTTTATAATTTCCCTTGCATTTTAAAAATTTTTGTAAAGTAAATTTAGACCTGCAGTTATGTGGTTCTCCATGTTTTTGAGAAGTTCTGATTAAGCACAGCACTGCATTCTATAAAGAAATCAAACAGTTGACACATGATAGTAAAGGGATAAGCTATTAGCCTATTACAAATACTCAATTTACTTAAAAAAAAAAGATTTTATTAGAGAGAGATACAGAGATAGTGACGGAGATAGCAAGAGAGACCACAAGCGGCTTGATCCCAGGACCCTGGGAACATGACCTGAGCCTAAGGCAGACACTTAACTGACTGAGCCATCCAGGCACCCCCTTAATTTACCTTTTATAATTTATTTTAACTACTGCCATTTTTGGTTCATTCTGCACATTGATATAACTATGAGTTGCACTTAGATTTGTTTTTGTACTGTATATAGAGAGAAGAGTTGAAGATACTTCTTCCTTTGAAAACAGGAATTTTGTCTTATCCCCATAATGTATGCCCTCTCTTATCAGAGGTCAGCTGCTTATCACATTTGCAAAATAAAGACACTACTCTCTTAAAGTATGATGGAAGGGGCTGAAGGAAGATGTGTATGTGTGTGTGTATCTGTGTGTGTTAAGTTTTTAAGTTTTGTACAATTCTATTACGTGTGTAGGGTTTTGTATCCACCACCATAGTCAAGATATTCAGCTGTTTCAATACCATAAAGATCTCTCCTGTTAACTTTTTAATAACCACATCCACCTCCATTCTGCTTCACACCTATCCCCACACTGTGGAAACCACTGTTCTGTCTTCCATTTCTAAAATTTTGTCATGCAAAATTGTTATTTATTTTTTTAGAAGATGTTATTTATTTATTCATGAGAGACACAGGGAGAGAGGCAGAGACATAAGCAGAAGGAAAAGCAGGCTCCCTGCGGGGAGTCCGATGTGGGGCTCCATCCCACGGGACCGTGGGATCATGACCTGAGCCAAAGGCAGATGCTTAACCACTGAGCCACCCAATGCCCCACGAAATATGTTATATAGCCTTTTGAGATTGATTTTTTTTTTCACTCAGCAAAATTCCCTGGAGATTCAACAAAGTTTTTGTTTATATCAATAGTTTGCTTCTTTTTATTGTTGAGTATTATTCCATGGTATGTGTATACCACAGTTTGTTGAACCATTGACCTGTTAAAGAATGTCAGGCTGACTCCAGTTTCTGGCTATTATAAATAAGGCTGATATGAACATTCTTTGCTTGCCTCTTGCACCATTTCTAGAGTTTATAGTTCTGTACAACTCTGTACAAGGAAACCAGAAGTTTGTATTATCTGTACTTTCGCAGAAATGATGTAATCAATGATTTTGAGCACTTTTTTAGAATGTATCCCTAAAAACTACATCCCTCTTGCATATTTAAAAATGTCTAAAGCTTTTCGGTATGAGCTTGAATAGTTGCAAAGATGTAATTGCTTGTACATAATAAATGTTACTATAAGATAATTATATGCTTTTTTCAAATATATCCAGTAAAGTGGAAATACCATAATAATTTGTTAACAGTTGAAAAATTTACCTCATTTTCCCCCTCAGTTTTGTACTTCCATTGCATCTCTACCATAGCATCATATCCTAATGTGTTACATTTTTATACTTAAAAGATTTTTGCTGATCACCAATAAACTATGTTTTAAATTTGTATATAATATATGCATATGTATATTTGTATATGTACATATGAATATGTGTAGCCAGTATGTATACAGATATGTATATAAATAGATTTACTGTAATCATAAATCTATACTTTTTTGTAAAAAATTCTTATGAATTATATTAATGTAAATTTATTTTTTATTTATTTTATAAAGATTTATTTATTTATTTGAGAGTGTAAGAGAGAGGGGGGGAACACAAGCCAGGGGGAGAGGAAGAGGGAGAGGGAGAAGCAGACTCGCTGCTGAGCAGGGAGCCTGACGTGGGACTCTATCCCAGGACCCTGGGATCATGTCTTGAACTGAAAGCAGATGCTTAACCTACTGAGCTATCCAGACATGCAATATAAATTTAACTTACCAAGTTTGATACTTAATTTTTTCCTTTTTTAAAATTGAGATATAATTGACATATAACATTGTATAAGTTCAAGCTGTATCTACTGTTGATTTCATACATTTATATGTTGCAATGTGATTACTAGTGTGGTGTTAGCTAACACCTCCACCACATCACATATTTATCATTTCGTTTTGTAGTGAGAACGTTTAAAATCTCGTCTCTTAGCAACTTTCAAATACATAATGCAGTGTTGTTAACTGTAACCACAAAGCTGGGCATTGGATCCTCAAAACCAATTCATCTTCTAGTTTGTGTTTTTTTTTTTACCAACATCTCACCAATTTTCCCACCCCCAGGCCCTAGTAACTACTATTCTCCTGTCTCTTAACATAAATTCTCTGTTAACATAAGAAGAAAATGTCATTGAAAATACTTTTTTTAATCAGATCGAAGAGAAACCAAGAGGAAAGCCAGAATAACTTACATATTATAAGCTCTGACTAGTGTGTGTGTGTGTTTGTGTGTGTGTGTATGTATACATATGTATACATATGTATATACGTGTGTGTGTGTGTGTGTGTGTGTGTGTGTGTGTGTGAGTAGACTCTTAAGAAAATATTCTTAAGGGTGCCTGGGTGGCTCAGTTGGTTAAGCATCTGCCTTCCGCTCAGGTTATGATCCCAGGGTCCTAGGACTGAGCCCCATGTCTGGCTCCCTGCTCTGTGGGGAGTCTGCTTCTCTCTCCTTCTGCCTCTTCCCGGGCTTGTGCCCTCACTTGCTCTCTCTCTCTCTCTCTCTCTCTCTCTCTCTGTCTCAAATAACTAAATAAAATCTTTAAAAAAATTGTTCTTTTTTTTAAAGATTTTATTTATTTATTCATGAGAGACAGAGAGAGAGAGAGAGAGAGAGAGACAGAGGGGCAGAGGGAGAAGCAGGCTCCAGGCAGGGAGCCTGACGTGGGACTCGATCCCGGGTCTCCAGGATCAGGCCCTGGGCTGAAGGCGGCGCTAAACCGCTGAGCCACCCGGGCAGCCCCCCAAAATTATTCTTAAGACACTTCTCTGTATCCAACTAGAGAAATAGTTTGAAAAAATGTTCAGCTTCATATATTGTTTGTGTAATGAGTTCCTCCTTTAGATCCTGTAAACTCTTTATTAATGTAATTAAGTACACTAGGGTCATTGATCTTTCCTTTTCCTATTACAAAATTACAATGTTTTTATGAGAAGAACATGGTATCCCTTAAAAAAGCAGCATATGCAGGACAGTCCTGGCTGATCTCTGGAATGTCTGTACATATTTAATAATACACAAGCACTCACATATAAACATATATGCCAGAAGGAAGACCCAGTGCATAAAGCAGCATTTGTAAATATTTTGTTCAGGTATTTTCATTTATATATTGTGTATGTATGTGTGTCTGTATTTATATCTTGGAGGTTGTATCCTATGTGGAGTAAATTACTTAAATCGTGTCTGGTATGTAAGGACTCAGTAAAGATCAGTTATTACTCTATTAATTATTGGTGCTGTTATCATTAGGTTTGTAAGGGTAATGCACTCCAAATCTAACAGAATAGATTCATGGCTAAGGTCACTAATATTATATCTAAATAATTTCTCAGGTAAGTCATTGAGACTTTTGAAGTCTTTGGCTTTTCATCTGTAACATAGCCATAATAATATTTACTACCCTTTCACAAAACTTTTAGTATCAAACAGGATAATATATTTAATGATGTTTATAAATTATGAATTAGCCATATACAAAATATATATATATCCTTATGAGACATGCATATAGGATTATAATGGATTTTTAAAAGGTGTATGAAATATATGGTATAGATATGCTACAGTGAGCCCTTTAAGTTAGAGACACAGGTGAAAAATCAATTGTATCTCTTTGTGCTTAGACCTTGCTTTAGTCTCCAAATGGCATTTTATAGCATAGCGCCTTCTTTTATTTCATCAGATTTGGCATCATCCAAACTGCTTTGTTAAGATCAATTCCATCCTTTTTGAGGAGGGCTTAAAGAGTGTATTATAGGTTTAGGTGGAGATTCCAAGAATGCTTGGAGCAACAAAACTACTGAGATATGTGGGTAGCCTATCAAGGTGAGTACTTAAGAGGGTAACCATGTTCTTAGATGCATAAAGTCTGATTTCTTTGTTAAAATGCATCTCATTATCTTGTTTTCATGTCTATTTCACAGTTCTCTTTACTGATAAATATGCCATCAACAGACGTGTAAGGAAACATAAGTGTCTTACAAGGAATTAATAAAGGTGTCTATGTATGTCCCCCTGTGGATTTAAGTATGAGGGTATAATTGTTAATTATAGTGTCCACTTTTCTCTTCCTCTAGGTTGATTCCATCCTGTCAATTGGAAATCGAGTCAGAAGTTAATTTTGGCACATTGGTTGCTGATAGTAAAGTATATTGTAAAGAGATTAATATCGTTAACCATGGCAGAGTTCCAGGTACATCTTTCTGTTATATAAATTAACTTCCACTTTTGGAAGAAAGTTGGTATTATTTAAAATGTATACTTTGTATAATTAATGGGCTCTCTGATTCATTCCTCACTCCCCACCAAAAGATGTCTGTCATTTGAAATAGCTCAAAACTGAAGGCCCTTAAATAGAATGGCTGTAAAAGACTGATAGATAATAATGCAGGAAAGATGAATCTGTCTCCTTATGATTCTGATTAATAGCCTGACTCCCAGGTGACTGGTGATTTCCCTGCAGACAGAAGGCAGGATATGTGTTATGGAGTGACATAGTTCTCAGAGTGAGCCATCAGAGATAGAATCAGGGCACAGTGCCTTACTAGCTGTGTGATCTGGGGCAAGTTATCTTTTAGGATGTTGTACTTGATATTTCTCATTTATATACTGTGGTTAATAAAATTAACTCTTTTTAATTATGTATGAACCTATGGTTGTAATATGGTACTTGACTCATCAGCACTCAATAAATATTTGTTCTTTTTCTCTATCATATTCAACTTTGAATTTACACAATGGTCTCTAGAAAGATCTTACTAACTTCTTGTTGAAAGAGTAAATGCTTTTTCCAGACTGGATTGTTTCTAGAGATTTTTACTGTGACCTAAGAGTTTCCATAAAGGTGTGTATGTCTGTATGTGTCTGTGTTCATGCATACTCTTCATTGATGATATATAGTATATAATAAAATTGCTTATACCTTCATTGACCTAATTGGATGGTCAGCATCTGGGCTGGCAAGGCTTCCATTTCTGCTGAGCTGACATGAGGACTAGATCCACATAGGGAGGGCATTTTTTTCTGAGACTGTTTCTCAGATACATAAAACTGGTCTTAATTCTAAGCCTGTTACACTAAGTGAGGATATTCTTTGGGGCTGTTTGAGCAGTGGGAATTATTAAGACAAAGGCAGTTTGTCACTGTATTGATTTCTTCCTGAGGTTAAACAAATAAAACTGATAATTGTTCTTCCCTGAATGTTGCTCATTTCAACTTTCCATGCTTTGTTTTTTAAATGATTAAATTTCTGATGCCTGTGGAATTGTAGAATATTAGACTCGTTTGTGGTCTGACTCCAATGTTAAGGATGGGATGTCTCATGTTTAGTAATTATGGACTGTATGGTCCTTTAGACCCTGTTTTTTAGAGCAGTGGTATGTAATTGAGAGAATTTTATTTTTATTATTTATTTTCCAAAAATCTCTCTTAACTGTTGTGCATTCTAAACCCTTCAAAGTGTTGATCATATCCTCTCCTTGTTGTAAAATGTCACCAAACTGTACAGCTTTATTACATATAAAAGCTCTCTGTAAGTAACAAGTATATGTGATTTTAATTTTAAATGAATATTCAGTATTATTGTACTTAATAAAATAAAGTAAATAAAATTAAGCCTCAGATCTAGACCCATACATTTTAGGAAAAGTAACCACACTGGCTTTTAGTGTTATATTAATATTTTGTGTGTTCACAGGATTTGTAGTAAATACTACAGTTTGTAAATTGTAATTGAGTACCAAGAAATGTTAATATTACCTTACAAAGTAAACCAAATTATTATCAATGGAATATATTTTCTTAGTGTTGACTTTGTTTCTCCTTCTTTGAACTGAACAATATTATTTTTTCCACCATAAGCAAAATTGATATTATGTTTTATATTCACAGTAGCAAGTGTCTGTAAGGTGTCATAAAGTCCTTATTATCTACAAGCACAGTATATAAATATTCATGAGAATAATAATGTATTTTCATGAGGAAAAACACTTATGCAGAAAATAGATTTAGCACCCAAAGATGATTTTAATAAAATTTTTTAAAAAGATTTTATGTGACAAATATTTTATAGTTTTAGAGTCAAAGATCAAATGTTTATAAATTTATAAGCATGCTTAAGAGAACATTAAAAAGCCACACTCAGCAGATTCATGGTATGTATAGCTTTGTTTTTCTCTCTGGTGGTGACAGAGGGGTTGTTAGTTGATCTATGTAACAGCTTCATGATTTTTTATTTTAATAGCCCATTATGGAGTAATTATCCATGGATTTAGCCAAATATTGTTGAATACATTTTGCTTTCTCACCCTCTATGTTTCCTGAATTTACTCCTTACTGTGCAAAGTAGTGCTTGTCTTTTCATTTTGAAGACATGGTTTTGTCTTTAAGATAAGTCTCTACTCTTAGTACTTTCTGAGCTGGTGAACTCCATGTTCTGTTTTATGATTTTATTGTTTCTCAGTTTTTATCTTTTAAAGAACATCACTGAAAAAGCATTATTATTTTAGCATGCCTGGAACTGCAATCATTTCCCTCTTTCCCTCGGTAACCTTGAATATCTGAGACGACTTTTTCTACTACAGCGTTATAATGTAGAACAGTCTTTAAAGTCTCTCGTGAGATCTTCACACACCATTTCTGTGTTTGAGCAGCTATCTTAGAACTCATCAACCTTTAGGTTTTCTTGGCTTATTTTGTCCAAGATAATATGTCCTTTCTCTTGCTCTTAATGCCTACTCTCCCCCTTTCCCTGATCATCAGCATCATCTCACTGCTTCACAGTCTAGAAAAGCCTATCATCATCTATAAACCAGGAAGTTTGCTAAATTGGACCAAGTCCTGGGACTGGTGCTTGGGATCCTCCTTAACTACTCAGAGAAACACTCATTACTTATTCTCAATGTGTATTTTTTGTTTTCTTAGAAACTGATGTCATGGAATCTCAATATGCATTTCTTGCATAATATAATCCTGGGCAACAGTAGACATTCAATAAACCTTTGTGTAATTGATTTGGTTCAGTGATCTCTCAGAGTTTCAGTAAAGGATCATTAGTTGAATAAAAAAAAATTCTAAAAATAATTTGACCAGGATATTACAAAATAAAAAAAAATGATTTGTCATTTTAGTACATAACAATAAAAGCATTAGGCTTTCAATGAAAGCTGATTGAACTTAGAAGTAACCTGTTTAATCCCATATGGATATTCTGAAGAGTCTCCAAAGCAGTTGTCTGGAGACATATGAAGACTGGTATATCCTCAGAATGCTTAGACCCAAGGAAACTTAAAAAAAAAAAAAAAGCATACATAGGAAATGACGATGACCTTGGGTTTGTGACTCTTGATTTTTCAGTAGCAGCCTATAAAACTACAAACTGTTTGCCTTGGCTTGGTATTACAAATGCCTTTTTTTGTTGTTTTGTTCTGTTTTATTTTTGTTTTTAGTTTCAGAGGTAGAGTTTAGTGATTCATCAGTTGCAAAGAACACTCAGTGCTCATTACATCAAGTGCCCTCCTTAATGCCCATCACCCAATTACCCCTTCCCCCCCACCTCCCCTCGAGCAAACCTCAGTTTGTTTCCTAGAGTTCAGCGTCCATTATGGTCTGCATGGAATTTAAGAAACAAAACAGATGGGGGATCCCTGGGTGGCGCAGCGGTTTAGCACCTGCCTTCTGCCTAGGGCATGATCCTAGAGACCTGGGATCGAATCCCACGTCGGGCTCCCGGTGCATGGAGCCTGCTTCTCCCTCTGCCTATGTCTCTGCCTCTCTCTCTCTCTCTCTCACTGTGTGCCTATCATAAATAAAATAAAATTAAATTAAATTAAATTAAATTAAAAAAAAGAAACAAAACATATGAACATAGGGGAAGGGAAGGAAAAAATAAAATATTACAAATACTTTTACATGAATACTTCATAGTTTCTAAAAGAATTTTGGAAGAATAAAGACAAGGTAACAATGTATATACTTCATCACCCAATGCCTGAGCTGCTTCTCTAGGGAAAGTAGAGCAACTCAGACACAAAAAACATAGAGGTTTGTGTAGAGGACCCATCATCCCATCCACAACTATGTGTAGACTCACATATCATGTGCTCTCCTAAGTCTCATTAGTGAACAAGACTAAGCATTTATTTTACATGACTTAATGAGCAACATTTGACACAGGTGGTCACTGGTGTTGTCTTGAAAAAAAAAAAAAAAGCCAAAAGTTCGACTTCTTTGACTCCTCAATGGCTTATATAAAATAGTGATTCAGGTTCCAGAGTGAGGTCTTCCAGGACTCAAATCCTTATATTTACTGGCTGGGAAGCCCCAGGCAAGGAATTTACACTTCTCGAACATCTATTGTAGAGATAAACATAGTGCCTGCCTCCTCTAATTGTAATGATGATTAATATGATGCTTAGCACACTCTCTGATACATATTAAGTGTTCAGTAAATATTTAGTATTGATGTGAGAATTATTCATTTCTACCACCTTCCTCCTCTTCAATTATCTTTTGTGGATTGTTATCCCTTTTTGAGGGGTTGCTTAAATGTGAGCATTTCTTAGAATCTGCATGGATGTGCATGGACACAAACACACACATGCACATGTTTCCTGAGTCAGCACATTCCCCCTAGGTAATCACTGCCATTCCTGTTCTCCACTGAGGTCTATACAGTCCTCTTCATTTCCTTCAGGTCTCAAACTTCACATGTTTAAAACTAAGCTCCTCACCTTTTCCCCAAAACTTTTCCTTTTCTCTTTTTCATTAAACATCACTACCATGTATCTGGGCAAGTCAGAAACTGGGCAAAATCCTTGACCTCTTCCTTTTTTACACCTCCTACCCCCTTAGTTATTAAATCCTCTCTATTCAATTTCCTAATTATGTCAGTAATCCTCTTTCCTCTGTCCTGTTGCCACTTTTCTACAACGGGCCCATCATCTTCTTTTGCTTAGTAAGTATACCAACTGAAATTATTTCTCTGAAGTCCCTTATCTCCTAGTTCATTCTCCAAACATCAGCCAGTGTCATATCTAAAAAGAAATGAAAATTTGATGACAAATTCCTTCTGTAACATCCTTCCTTCAATGACACTCTTCCCTTAGTATGATGTCCTTGCTTCTGTTGTTAGTGATTTAAAAATAAAAGTCAAATATTTCACTATGACTAGTGGCAATAAAGTTGTATAAGACACAGTAATATTTGTGTAGCCACTGTTTTAATATATTTGGAAGACTGAACTATGTTCTTTTTGGTTTGAGGGTTGTTCCTAAATAAATTTTTGAAATATTCCCTTAAATTCTTTTGTCAAATTATATCAAAATGATTACAATATAGGAACTATATCACTGACTCAGCCTTAACTGCGACTCACATAATTTTCCTTTTCTGAAGAACTGAGTCAGTAACGTTTATTTGAATTTTTGTTTTATGACAGGAAAAAAACTCTTTTTTTTTTTTTAGGAAAAAAAACTCTTAAATATGTTCTTAGTACTTCCCTAAAATGATCAGAGGAACGAATTTTGTTACTGTTTGACTTTTCCATCAGATCATCTCTGTACTTTAAAAAGTTTTTTTGCCTTTTTATACTTTCAACACTTTTATTATGCTAATATTTTATTTTCCAAAATGAAATTCGTAATTTTGGAAAATTTCATCAAATGTGATTTAGAATTGGTGAGCTAGAATTTGCAAAGTTTATGTTGGCAGGATGCTCATTTGTGTTTATTTTGCATAATGATATTAAGGAAACTTGTGACTGGCTACTTCCATTTGTTGGACACATCTTGAGCACCACATGGTGCTAGGCACTGTGTAGGGTGCTTGAACCACGGAGATGAGAAAACATAATGTGTGAGCTCAAGGATATCATGCAGTGACTAAACATGACCATAAATTATGAACCATTTCTGCTTTCAGAATAAGACATTTTCTCAGGCTCCTCATATGCTATTTGATTCTATTTTTTAAAAAAAAGACTAATTTAGAGATCTAGAGAGAGAGAGAGAGAGAGAGCAAATATGGAGGAAGGGGTAGAGGGAGAGGGGGAGATAGTCTTTAGGCAGACTTTATGCTGACTGAGGAGTCTAGTGCGGGGCTCGATCTCAAGATCTGAGCTGAAATCAAGAGTCAAACACTTAACTGACTGTGGCACCCACGTGCCCCATGCTATTTGATTCTAGAAACCCATTCCTTTTGCCCTTTCCCTATGTGAACTGCATTAATTCATTTATCAGTAAGTGACAGGGCTCCTGACTGGCTCAGTTGGATGAGCAGGTGACTCTTGATCTTGAGGTTGAGTTCTAGCCCTACATTGGGTGTAGAGATTACTTACTTACATAAATAAATAAATAAATAAATAAATAAATAAATAAATAAATAAATACATCTTTTAAAAAGTGGCAGTGTCCATAAGTGTGAGCCCTTTGGTCAGAAACATCCAGGTGAAAGTCCTAGCTCTATTAGTTTCTAACTGTGGCAGTCAGCTATTGCTATGTAACAAACCACCCCACAATTTTGTGTCTTAGGAAGGCAATTGTATTTTGATTGTTCATTTGTATGCAGATTGGCTGGAACTTGACTGATCTAAGCTGGGCTCAGCTGGGTATCTCTGCTTCAAATTTAGGCAGCTGAGGATTTTCTGTTACTCACTGCAGGTCTGTGACTCAGGTGGAGGCTGTGTTCTACATGTGCTCATTCTGAACCACAGGCCAAAGGGGCATCAGTTATTCAAGCACCTTACATGATAGTAGTGCCAGAGAACATCTGGGATTGGAGCTGGCATGTTTTCAGTTCTACCCATATGCTATTGGTCAAAGCAAATCACATGTTCAGGCCCAAAGTCATGGAGTAGGAAAAGATACTTTGCCCACAGTAGCATAATGGTAAGATGCAGAGAAGGGTGAAGAATTGAAGTCAACTGTGTAATCTACCACAAATCACTCAACCATTGTAAGCTTCTTTTCCTTATTTATAAAATGGAGGTAATGATTGAACCTATATCAGAGAATCACTCTGAGGATTACATAGATTAACATATACAAAGCTCTTAGCATACATGTCTGAACATTGTAAGCAGATAGTATATTTTAATGATCAATGAAGCTTGAGTCCTAACAATCAGTTCACATTTGTTGGGTGACCCCAGAGGCTAAACTTATAATCAAAGCTGTGATTCTTGGTCCGCAATTGACTATATACTCTGTCTCCTATTAAGAGTGTGAATATAACACTATAAGGATCCAGATATAAACCATCTGTTCTTGTTCTCCTTAGGTACATTTAAAACAGAATACCAGGGCCAATTACCCATTGTCATTTTTCCGAGTAATGGTATTGTGGAGCCCAAGTCATCCATGATTGTTAAAGTGGATTTCTGTGCTGATGAGCCCAGAATTGTAAATGAAGTGGCAATGTAAGTATATACTATGGTTCTTAATTCTAATGTAGTACTTAATATGTTCCACTTTTACTTTTCAGATATGCTTATTGTCTTGAATGTATATTAGCTTCTTTGCTCTTTCAGTCAGAATTCATTCACTGAGTTTCTACTATTTGCCAAGCACCAGAGACTCAAAAATGGGAAGAACTAGTGGATGGCCTATAGGTACACATAACAGGAGTTCCTAGTTTGGATTTTGTGGGAGTGAGGGAGTGGATCAGGAAGGGGCTCCAGTAAGGAGGTGATAGTGTACTCAAACATTTATTGGTTAGTAGGAAGTAGCCAGGCAAAGAGCAGTGGTGTGATTTGAGCTGAGTGCATGTGTGTGTGTGTGTGTGTGTGTGTGTGTGCACATGTGCACAGGAGAGGTGGGTGTTGGTGAGGGTAAGTTAGAAGAACAATTTCAGGCAGAGCACATAGAAGACTTGAAATCTTGGAGGTAAATAGACAATGTTACACACCGAGAGAGCTGAGGCAATGTAGAGGCAAAGAGATGGAGGTGTGTAGTGACATGAGATGAGACCAGAAACCCAGAATGGTGCAGGGGCCAGTAAAGGACTTCATAGGACAGTGCTTTTTTAATGTTGTATGTCTCAGTCCATTAGTGGAATGTGCATTCACTATAATAGATCACCACCAGCATCAAAATAGTGAAATAGATAATATCAGAATGTATCTCACATAGTAAGGGCAAATATTTTTGCAAAACTTGTTTCATGAATGTGTGTGTGTGCATGCATGTGTGCCTGTGTATTTCTCTATGCATGTGTGTGCATGTGTGTGTGTTTGCAATGTAAATACATTTCTTACTGAAGGTCAGAGCCAGAAAAATGTTTGAGAAACAGTTGTGAGCCCTGATAGAAGCTTAGGTTTTATTGTGAAGTCTGTGGAATCTCGGGAAGGTTTTAAGATGGGAGTGTCTTGATTAGTTTGCAATTTAGAAAGGTCGTGCTGATAACAGTGGGCACAACAAATCAGGGAGTACATATGTGGAGAGATAGCCTGACTACTAACTATAATAGTAAAATAGAAAAGAAATGATGAAGGCTTCAGCTAAGGTACAGATTGGGAAGTATAGAGAGAAGTGTGCTGATTGAAGAAATGTTATGGAGGCAGATTTAACTAGATGTAGGGACTGGTTATAGAGAGGGAAGGTAAGAAGAAGGACAGGTCTGTGGGAGAGGATCTTGAGTTCAGTTTTAAACTGCTGGAATTGATTTGCTTTGCAGAATCCTGTGGAGCCTATTAGATTTACTTATCTTGAGGCACAGAAAAAGAATTTGGTCGAGGTGTATTGGCTTGAGGAGTGTCAGTGGATAAGTTGTATTGAAGCATGAAGTGTTGAAAATAACTTTGACAAGGAGGGCTGAGTATAAAAGAGTAGGAGAGAGACATTATTATTCATGCAGTTTATAAAATATCCAAGCCTTAGAAGAACGAGAAGGTAACGTCTGAATAAGTTAGAAGGAAACCATCAAAGTATGGCATCAAGAAAGCTAAAGGAGGAGAGATATGCTTAGATGGTGCCAGACTTGCCCACTGTGACACAGATGTAGTGTAAGATAAGGACTTATGTGATTTTTGTGGAGTGGTGAGTTATTTGTGGTATTTGATGGGGTGAGAGTCAAAAGGATTGCATTTATGCCACAGAGGGAGGCATGTGCATATGTGGGCAGTTTCAAAAGGGATTTGAAATTAGTCTAGGAAGTGAAGCTTTATGGGGAGATCTTCATTTCAACAAACAAGTGGAATTTTGCTGAGATTTTACTTCATAGGGAATAGGGTTATTAGGATTGAGATGAGATTGGCTATTGGACTTGGGGGAGTGGGATGAGTTAGAAAAGAATCTCAGAATTCTAGAACTACAGGCGACCATCTAAATCATCCTATCCAATTCTAATGTTTACAAAATAATTGGTGAGATGGACCTAGCAATAAGTCCTTTTTGAAGTCAATTCATGTGATTGTTTTCCAACTTTTTTGTTTCTTGGGGACAATGAATTAGGTTGTACATACGCCATTCCACTGTGCAGATTCAGATAGTCTGAAGGTCATGGCATTCTCTGGCATGTATGAAAAAGGAATTGCTCTCAGGCCTTTGAATTTTAATTATAATGAGATTTTATAAAATTTCTGCTTATCCAAATATTTAGGAGAAAACTTAAGTATATAGAATTCTAATTTAAAAATATATATAATTTATTATCTTGTAGAGTGAGTTTGCAAGGTCGTCCAGATATACTCTTGAGTGTCAAAGCTCATGTGGTTGAGCAGATTATTGAATTGTTAAACACGAGTAATGACAAAAAGTTGGAATGCATACACTTTGGTTCTGTTTTCTTCGGAACTTCAAAAATTGAACATGCTCTTCTATACAATAACAGCCCAGAACCTATAAATTGGGTGGCCATAATGCAAAGTGACTCAGTTGGAGAAGAACTGGTAAGTAAATAATGCAACAGGGGAAGATCAGGTATTATGTTTTGAAACAGATTGTTTTGAACTTGCATATAACCAAAAAAAAGCTGTTAAATTATTCTAAGTATGTTTATTTTATTTATTTTATTTTATTTTTTTATTTTATTTTTTTTCTAAGTATGTTTTAACATGTGGACGGATTTGATTCCCTTTCGTTTGTCTTCAACCTCAAAAAATTCTGTAAATTAAATGAACACTGATAGGGATCTGTATCTGAAATAAACCAGACAAGTGCTTCTTATGGATTAGTAGCTAGTTGTGGGGATTTCTGTTCTCATCAATTTTTCAACAGTTCCTTTAATTTTATGATGTCCCTTGGTCAAATTTATGTATGTTACTTTAAAGACATTCATATTCTCGATCTTCTAGACTAAAATTTCAACAATCATGTTATGATCTCCTCTTAAAATATTTTATTTGCATTCTGCCATAATATTCTTTTTATTTCTGATTTTATATTACAGGGCACAAATATACACCAAAGAACAGATGTTGCTTTAAATAATCTTACCTACTTAAGAAAATCAAAGAACATAGATATTACCACTTTTATCTCCTGTGTTCCTAATGAAGGGAGGTTACTGCCTTATCAAAAGACTACAATTACATTTTGTTTCAGCCCAAAGTAAGCAAAAATTCAATTATTGTGTTTTTTTATTCATTGAAAGCATATCAATCATACATTCATCAAATTGACTTTAATAGTAAAACTTGTCAGAAGGTACCAATCAGCTTTTTCTTATTACGGCTCTTAAAGTTTCCAACATGGTTAACATTATTTTGAATACTGAGAAATTTTGTTCTAAATATTTCATGTCAGATTACAGATCTCTTTAGACCTGGTAGAAGTGGAAGTTCTGTGTTGTTTTGGATTGTAGTCTCAGATGACTGTGCAGCAAGACCCCATTGTCCCTGCAGAAATAGGTGATGGCCAGTGGCATGCAGTATGTTTAGGTGCCTCCAGAGAGGATGCAGTGCTCTTGCCACAGCAAAATACTTGCTAAGTAGCATGAATATGAAGCCTATAGCAGCTACTGGGATCAACCACCTCTGCTTGCTGAAATTGACACAGACTTTTAGGACCTTTGCCAATGTATATTTTTCCTAATTCTGTGTACTTGGTTTGGTTATTTAGTTTGAGAATATATTTGGAAATGCTGTTTTAAATATATAGTAGCAATTTCAGCTCTACTGGAGAGGTAGCCATGTGGGGGCGGCAACAATTGATCCAACTGGATGTTTACCTTTGCGAGGAGGCAGTGTTCAAGGTACTTCTCTCTGGGGCAACTGTCACTTGATGATGATACCGATTGTTGGAGACCGAATTGTATTTTAATTTAAGGAGGGTAATAAATCAAGTAATTGTTCTATTTGTACATTTTGTAATTGCCTCATGAATCATATTTTCCTGCAGGAAATTTCCTTGGCCAATGTATAAGATTCTGTTTAACACAGAATCTTTGAAATTCTAAATATTATTTTTCAAGGTCTGATTATGACTGGAAGTCTTAGTTAAATATGCTTTTAACATGCTACTTGCATTCCTATGTAGTATTTCACAGCGATCTTTGTGCGTGTGTGTGTGTTTGTGTGTGTGTGTGTGTTTGTGTGTGTGTGTGTGTGTGTGTGTGTGTGTGTGTATTAGAGTATCCACTGATAAAAAAGCTGAACTTCAGGTAAGGCAAAGAAAGACATTCAACATGCAGGTCTAGAGGTAACTCATCTCTGGCTTTGGTCTTTCTTCCCTTCTTTCCTCTCCTTTTCTCCTCTGGTAGGATTTGACTGTTATCAAATCCTGTTCTCCAAATTGCTTGTTCTGCTAAGAATATGGAGTATGTGGCTAGCAATATGTGCTTAGTCCACAGGAGGAGACAGATATGGAATGGAGGTTTGCAGTTACATCCAGGGGTAACAAGGACTATTGTAGGAATTGAACAGAGCCCTTAGGTAGCCACGAACTCGGCTTGGAAAGAAAAGCCTTTACATAGAAAGTGACATTGAAGCTGGGCCTTGACAATTTAGTATATTTAAATTACTTTTGGCTTGCAGATGTTGTCATGAGCTCGTTTTCGGAATCTTTACGTTTTGTGGCCTTCTTTTGGCAAGTCTCTACATCTGGGCAGTAATTTTAGAGAATGGATCACAATTATATTTTTATTCCTGAACTTTCATCAGTTTGCATAGATTTAAGGATTGAGTTGATCCTTATTGAGATGTAATAGAGTGTATCATCTTTGCTTTAAAAATAATTGATTGTAATTTTTTATAGGCTAATGATTAACGGTAAAAAGAATAATGATCCTTCGCACAGGCAGGACTATGCTGTCTTTTTGAGATTTGACTCTGTGGGAAGTAAAGATGGATTTTTGAGGGACGATAACAGTAAAACCATCAAAAGTAAGTATGAAATGAGTATACGCATCAAATGTATAGCAGTTTAAATTATTCAGAAGTGTGAATATCATATTTTAGAGGCAATTTAATAAAAATATATACTTATTGAATAGAACAAAAATGCAGACATGCAAGAGACCTTAAAAAGTCTTTTGTGGCATGTTAAGGAAGAAGTCAACCACAGAATCATTTACATAATAATTTTTCAAGTTAGAATTTAGATGACTTCATTATTTTTAAATGACATTAGATAAACATGATGATCTAGAGTTAAGGAATGAAAAAAGAAAATGCATGAACCAACCTGGCTTCTTTTCCCATTTAAGCCTATGTTTTCTCTTAGAGATTAATATAGAACAAACAACCCATTCCCATCTCTACCAGAACTTCAGCTCTTAGAATCTACATATGGTAACAGTCCAAGGATAAGACCTAGAACCAGAGCTCTAGGAATAGGGTACAATATCTTATTATAGGGTATTGATAAGTACATTTACCTTGCAGGCCACATGTCAAGATGCACTGCCCTTTTTAATATTCTCAGGTAGTATTAGATGGGCTATAGTGAGAAAAAATGTAATCAGACTTGGAATTCAGCTTAGCCAGACAGATCAAAGAGAAAATAAAGATAGAGACAGGTGAGGGATTGGATCTAGAAAGATGAGCCATGGCAAGTCAGGAGTTGAGAAAAATTGTGTGTCAGGATGAGTAATACCATTGAGCAGGGTTGAACTGTTTTCCGAGGACAGAAATTGAGTGCTTTGCTATGATTTGTGTCATGGTTTGTGATTTGAACTCTGCCTGTCTATCATAGAAGATTTGTTTGAGTCTTGCAAGTTAACCTAGTTTGGAACGGTGAGTGATGGAGATGGTAAGTTTGCCTTAAAGGTAATTTAGAGTCTAGAGATGGCTAGTAAGAGCTTCAATGAAGAAAAATTCACAGTTGTCTTTTAGATTCTAGTTACAGTGCTCTTCGTGCAAAGCTGTTCATTCACTTAATTAAACCCTATGGTTTATAGTTCTTGCCTTCTCTCCTGTGTCTCCAAAACTTCATGCTTATGTTATTGCCCAGCTTATATTCCTCTGTTCATTATTTTAATCACTCTTTTCCATGTACAGTTAAGTTTCTTGGCCCATATCCCATAGTGACTGAGTGGCAAACTTCTAATCTGATTAAATTTCAATCTTAGCCTACCCTGGGTCCGCACCTGGGAAGCTAATTGTTTTGGGAAAAAAACCCAAACCATGCTGTGATGGTTCACTTTTTAATCTATAATCACTAACCCCCAGTGGGTCCTTTAAGATGGTTAACATTCCTGCTGCATTCCTCCTTTCATTTGCTTGCTCACGATAGATCAGTATCACACACCTTCTCTTCTCATCTCAAACATCCAAGACTTCTTCCTTTGTCTTTACTCTGAACTTCTAAATACATTAAGTGACCTAGCAGACATTTCCACTTGGATATCTGTTAGGCATCTCAAACTTAACATGTCCAAAAAAACCCTCTTGGTTTCCCCATAACCTGTCTTTTCTACAGCCTTTCCTGTCTCAAGAAATGGCAATTCTATCACTTCAGTTGCTCAGGCTCAAGACCTTAGCATTCTCGTTCATACTGTGTTCAATTTTCTATTTTATATCCAGTCCATCAGCAAATTTTAACTCTCCCCTTAAAACTGTATGTTAAATATGACCATGTCTCACCCTTCTTCTGCTACTCTTACCCAGCCATATTTGGTTCTTTAACGGTTTTGGAATGTGCCAAGGAAATTCCTATCTCAGAGTCTTTGTATTTGCTCTTCTGTCTGTCTGGAATGTACTTTTCCTGGATTTTCTTCCTGAGTTCCTTTATATTTTTTTGCTTAAATGTCTCCCTGTCAAGAGATGCCTTTTTGGACTTTCTCATATAAAGGAGCAGCCCTCAGACATTGTGTTCTGTCTTACCCTTGTAGGAGAAGGAAAATAATTTTCCCCGGTACCTCTCTAGGTTCTTGACTGAGGCCTCCCTTAATAAAAGACAGATTAAGGGGGGGGGGGAAAAACCAAACAAATAGAAGTTTAATGACAAGTTTGCCTCCTCTATAGGTGGGAAAGACCTGAGTAATTCTCCAAAATGACCCAAGCCATTACTTTAAATACTATCTCCAGCTAAAGACAAAAGTTGTTGTAGTGGGTCAGGCAGTTATGGGAGGTTTTCAGGCAAATCACAGTAAAGGAGGGTATAGTTGTTATGCAGATTTAAGTGTCTGCATTCTTTGATAAGAGTTTCTTCTCTGTAGTTTTCAGAGCTTTTCTTGTGTCTGCTGTTACATAACAATAATCAGCTTAAAATAATCCTTATGCCAAAGAGGCATATTTTTGGGTGACAAATGCTGTACCCCTTCACCCTACATTACTTTTCCCCATAGCACTTATCCTCTCTGAAATGCTACATATTTCCTTATTTTATTGCCAGTGTCACCTCACTAGATTATAAAGTCCACCAGAGCAGGAACAGTGTCTGTTTCATTCACTGCTGTATCCCCACAGCCTAGAAGAGTATTTGGCATAGAGAACGCACTTAATAATTTTGTTGAATGAAAGATTGAATGAGCTACTCATGTCTCCTCAGGTCTTTCAGATGACACCTTTTGGACCAAGCAAATATATTTTGGATTCCCAACACTTTTTATGTTAAAAAGCTATTATTGCTTTTCCAGGTGATCGATTTCAGAAAGTGGAATTAGCACTGACAGGCTCAGGACTTCCTGTCTTACTACACTTTGATCCAGGAAAGGTCCTTAATTTTGCACCTTGTTTCATGGGTGAACATTCAGAGACTCTGTGTATCATGCAAAATCGATCCAACTCACTTCCTGTGATGTACCGCTTTCAAAAGACTACACATTTTAAAATTGATCCTGAGAAGGGCAGGATTGATGAAGGATGTATCCAGGTAAGATAATTATTCAAGGCTTTCACATGCTTCAAATATTTTAAGATTCGCTAAAATGACATGCAAGAATTAAAAATTTCATTTTGTTCCAGTATTATAAATTGTATCTCTTTATGGCCTAGTTATGAATACTTTTGTGTTGGCACTTATACCGTATCCATAATTATTTGTTAAGTGCCTTTCATGTGGCAGGAAAAGCATTTGACACTGTAGGGAATGTTTAGAAGTAGAAAACATAGTTATTGCTTCTCAGGATTTTTTTTTTTCTGAGGGAGTATTTATTTATCAATGTCTCAGGAGGCAAGCCCCTAAACTTAAATATTCATCATGGAGCCTTAGTCCCCCCTTTCTTTGGTGGGTACAGAAACAAGTCCTAAAGCCTTTGTCTAGGACAGTGGAACCCAGTGACCAGAAGGATGATGCCCCTGAGCTAGTAGCTGCCAATAGCTGCAAAAAGTGAAAAGGAGGTAGGAACCAGGCACTTGTCCCAATCTCAGAGATGCTGAAAGGGGGTGCAAGATACTTTGGGCCTCACCTCTAGACTGAAGGTTGCCCCAGCTGGTATGCACACATGTGGGACAAATGGAAGTCTAGTGCCTCAAGGGCAGGGGCTGTAGCCTCATGCTATAGTTATAACCCACCACAGGAGGGAGGGGGTTGGCAGTTTTGCCTCTGAGGGCTCCCGGCCTTGCCAAGGTGAGGTGGTTTGGGGGAAACTAGCCACTATATATAGTCCTACGACTTGCTGATGGGTGAGTTTCTCAACCTTTTGCATGAGTGCATGCTCCTTGTCCCCCCCAGCTAGCTCTTCAGCAGCTGATGTGAAAGGCATCCTGCCGCCACTGGTCATGGGCATTCTGTGTCACCAGCACAGTGAGGGGTAGTGGGTGTGGGGTAGGCTCATATCAGGAGGCTTGTCATCAGTAGGCCAGCATCAGGTGAGTTATGAGCTATCTGAGCGTAGGGAGTCAACAGATCCTGGCACAGGCTTGGGTCTTGGCACAGGTGCTTATAGTCTTGGAGTGACTTGTACTGTCTCACAGCTGGTATAGCAGAGAAATAGCCTGCCACCGCAACCCCACCATCCCCTTGCACAATCAGTATGGGGCTTCCACATGGGCGGTGCTGGGGGCAGAGCAGGGCCACCCTGGGACACGGGTGGCACAGCTCAGCTCCTTATGGCTGTGGCTGCACCTGTGGTAGACTCACTTCCGTGCCCTCCTAGAGCCCCACTGACGATCCTTAACTGGCCTAGGTGTGGAGCAACTGCTGGTGTGGAGCAGACAAGCTTAACTCTGAGGAACACCTGTGAGTACCAGGCCAGCTTCTTTCTCACTACTCAGAGAACTCTTGCCTTTGTCCTCTAAACCAGGAGGTTTAGACCATAAAATCTGGCCTGCCAGATTTAAGTAAACTGTTGTTGGAACATACCTGCTCTTATTGTCTGTTGCCTATGGCTGCTTTCACACTACAAAGGCAAAGTTGAATAGGTGTGAGAGAGTTGTGTTGACTTTAAAAATATGATAGTCATTTTGCCAGCAAACTGGATTTACTTGGGAATAGCAAAGAACTGTAATTTGGGCAAACAAGCTATGACAAAAACCACAGGCTAGTCCAACAACCAAAGAGAGGAACGTTATTTTATGGAGGAGGAGGAAGTTGGTAGTGGTTATCTTGAAGGAAAGTCCATGGAAGAAAAGCAGTTCAGGGTGACAACAGTTTTCTGTTGGCTGAGTTGCTGGGGTAGTCGATTTCTTATAGGAGAAGCAATGTACATCTTTTCCGGTTGGGACCAGTAGCTCATGATTCTTTCCAATCCATGATTCTTCCTGTAATTGAAGTCTAGTGGCAGGGCATGAGAGCTCCTCCTTCTGGCCTCCCGATTCCATTTTAGTGAAGTTTACCTTTATTAATTTTTACAGTTCTATGGCCCATAAAGCCTACAATATTTACTGTCTGGCCATTTACAGAAAAAGTTTGGAGCCTTGCTCTAAACAGTAGCAAGCATGAATGCTTCCAGTTTCACCTCGGATTCTTGTGTTACCATCTTTTCTCCACCGCTTTGTGATACGGCTCATAAAATTATTGATGGAAGCTTTCTCCCAGTTGCAATCAGGAACTATTGTATACATGTTTAAATGCACGCAGATTATATTTATAACTCTTCCTACTTCATTAGAATGACTCACTTCCGTCCCCCCAAAGTTGGATAGATTTAATCCGTCTTTATAGAATAATAACTGATGTTAACCACTATGTAAAACGTTTGCTTTTTAACTGCTTCTTAGCCTTTTTTTAGGTCAGTTTGCTTAAATCTACCAACTCTATTTTCTCCAGGACACACACATCTTTCAAAACGTGTCTGATAGCCAAGTTCCTAATATAATTTTTAACTCTCTGCGTTTCTGGGTTTCTCAAGCACTAATAACTTTCAAGTTAATAAAAAGTTAATATAGGAAATGGAATTGCTGGATGACTGTGGTGTGCACAGGTTGGTCATGGTCAGATAGTCTTTGATTATTTAGAAGTGACCTAAATTATTCTTTTTAGTACTAGCTTATTGAAATATAATTGACATACCACGAAATTCATACATTTAAAGTGTATAATTCAGATGTGCCTGGGTGGCTCATTTGGTTAAGCATCTGCCTTTGGCTCAGGTCATAATCTTGGGGTCCTGGGATGGAGTCCCTCAACAGGCTCCCTGCTTATATTTATAACTCTTCCTGCTTCATTAGAATGACTTCCATCCCCCCAAAGTTGGATAGATTTAATCTGTCTTTATAGAATAACAAATTTGCAGATTTCTAAGAATTTGTCCATATCATCTAGGTTATCTAATTTGTTGGCATACACTTGTTCATCATATTACCTCATACTGTTTTTGTGTCTATGTGTGTCAAGTTTTGGTTTTCTATTTATTGAAATCAACTACTTTGTTCAAATGAACTTATTTTATTTAAATACGTTTTATAAATTAAATTGTTTTTTAATTCCAGTATAATTAACATTCATTGTTATATTAGTTTCAGGTGTACAATATAGTGATTCAGCACTTCCATACATCCATTACTCGGTGCTTATCATGATAAGTGCACTCCTTACTCCCATCTATTTCACCCATTCCTCCCACTACCTCCCCTCTGGTAACCATCAGTTTGTTCTCTAGAGTTAAATGTTTCTTTGGGGGTGCTTGGCTAGCTCAGTAGTTGAGGCATTTGTATTTGGCTTGGGTCGTGATCTCAGGGTCCTGGGGTCAAGTCCCATGTGCTTGTGCTCTGCCTGCTTGTGCTCTCTCTGTCAAACAAATAAGTAAAATCTTAGAAAAAAAATGTGTTTCTTCATTTGTCTCTTTTTTCCTTTGTTCATTTGTTTCTTAAATTCCACATATGAGTGAAATCATATGGTATTTGTCTTTCTCTGACTGACTTTGCTAAGCATTATATTTTCTAGCTCTATCCATGTTGCTGCAAATGGTGAGATTTCATTCTTTATATGCCCGAATAATATTCTAATATATGTATATGTATACATATGCATATACATATATTAGAATATATATTTGAAAATATATTTGTGCCACATCTTTATCCATTCACATATTGATGGACACTTGTGCTACTTCCATAATTTGGCTATTATAAATAATACCGCAATAAACATAGGCATGTATATATACTTTTGAGTTAGTGTTTTTGTATTTTTTGGGTAAATACCTAGTAGTGCAATTGCTGGATCACTGGGTAGTTCTCTTTCTAACTTTTTGAGGAACCTCTATACTGTTTTCCACAGTGGCTGCACCAGTTTGCATTCCCACCAACAGTGCAAGAGGGTTCCTTTTCCTCTACATCCTCACCAATACTTGTTGTTTCTTGTGTTGTTGATTTTAGACATTCTGACAGATGTGAGGTGATGTCTCATTGTGGTTTTGGTTTGTATTTCCCTGATGATGAGTGATTTTGCATATCTTTTCATATATCTGTTGGCCATCTGTATGTTTTCTTTGGAGAAAGAATGTCTTCTCATTTTTAATTGGATTGTTTGTTTTTTGAGTGTTGAATTGTATAAGTTTTTTATATTTTTTAGATACTAACCCTTTATCAGGTATGTTATTTGTACATAGCTTCACTCATTTAGTAGGTTGCCTTTTAGTTTTGTTAATTGTTTCCTTCACTGTGCAGAAGCTTTTTATTTTGATGTTCCCTCACTTTTTATTGATGTAAAGTTGATAGTGGTATTCTCTCTTTCATTTTCAATTGTAGCAAATTGAGTTTTTCTCTTTTATTGTTTTTGCTTGGTGAGTCTAGCTAATGATTTTTCATTGTTGGTCATTTCAAAGTCATAGTTTCAGATTTGTTGATTGTCTCTATTGCTTTTAGTTCTTTATTTCATGTATTACTGCTTTTTTCGTTACCATTCCTTTTCTTCTCTTCACTTTGGGCTTACTTTGTTGTTCATTTTTCTATTTCCTAAAGTGGAAATTTAGGTTATTGATTAAAGGCTTTTTATTGATATTATTTTTTAAAGATTTTATCCATTTATTTGAAAGAGAGAGAGAGTGAGAGAAGACAAATAGTGAGAGAGAGCACAAGCAGGGAGGAGAGGGAGAAGCAGGCTCCCCGCTGAGCAGGCAGCCCAATGCGGGGCTTGGTCCAGGACCCTGGAATCACAAACCAAGCAGAAGGCAGATGCCCAATGGACTGAGCAATCTAAGTGCCCTGATTGAAGGGCATTTATTTATTTATTTATTTATTTAAAAAGATTTCATTTATTTATTCATGAGAGACACACACAGAGAGAGAGAGAGACAGGCAGAGGGAAAAGCAGGCTCCATGCAGGGAGCCTGATGTGGGACTTGATTCCGGGTCTCCAGGATCTCGCCCTGGGCCAAAGGCAGGCGCTAAACCACTGCACCACTCAGGGATCCCTAGGCCTATTAAATTTACTTCTGATCACTGCTTTTACTGCATTTCATAAGTTTTGGTATGTTGTGTTACAGTTTTCCTTTATCTCAAGGTATTCTCTAATTTCCCCTGAGATTTCTTTGACCCATTGGTTATTTAGGAGTGTACCATTTAATTTTAACATATTTGTGAGTTTTCCATATATCCTTGTCATTATTTTCTTTTTAAACAATTTCTCTACTTTATTGATAGTCTCTATTTTGTGGTATGTTTTCATACCTTTTCTAATTCTTTTTTTTATCAAGAAATATTTGACACATAACATTAGTTTCAGGTGTACAGTGTAATGATATTTGTATATATTGGAAAATGATCACCATAATAAGTCTATTTAATATCTATCTCTCTACATAATTATATTTTTTTCAATTGTGATAATAACTCTTAAGATTTATTCTTGTCAAAACTTTCAAATATGTGATACAGTATTATGAACTGTAGTCACTATGCTGTATGTTATATTCTCATGACTTATTTATTTTATAGCTGGAAATTTGTACCTTTTGACTCCCTTCATCTATTTTGCCCATCTACCTCCCCTTGCCCCAGCTACCACCAGTCTCTACTGTGTATCTATGAGCTTGGTTTTTTTGTTTGTGTTTTGGTTTTAGATCCCACATAGAAGTGAATTCATATGGTATTTCTATTTCTGTGTCTGACTTATTTCACTTAGCATAAAGCCCTCAAAGTACATCCAGGTTGTCAAAAAATGGCAATGTTTTGTTCTTATTTTATTGCTAAACACTTAATATTTCTTGTGTTTTTTGATAATAGCCGCTCTGACAGGTGTTCCATGATACCACATTGTGGTTTTGATTTGCATCTATGATGACTAGTGATGTTGATGTGATGATAATTAATGAGTGATATTTTTTTCCCATCTCATTGGTTACCTTTTCATTTTGTTAATGGTTTCCTTTGCTGTGCAGAAGCTTTTAAGTTTGATGAAGCCCTACTTTATTTATTGTTTATTTTTATTTTTGTTGCCTTTGCTTTTGGTGTCTTCCTTTAATTCTTTAGACATGTTTTCCATTAGTCTTTTGAGGGTATTTATAATAGTCAACTTATCATCTTTGTCTAGTAAGTTCAACATCTGAGTTTCTTCAGGCACAGTTTCTATTTATTGCATTTTTTTTTCTGTGTATTGGCCACATTTTTTCTCTTTCTTTTCATGTCCCATGATTTTTTGTTGAAAACTGGGCATGTTAAATGATATAATTTGTCAATTCTGAAATTCGATAGTTCCCAAGATTTATTGTTATCACTATTTGTTTTTGTTGTTCTTTTTCTTTAGTGACTTTCTAGACGAGAGTCTATAAAGGTTGTTATCTTTGTTATGTGTAGCCAAACAAGAATCTGCTCAGTTAATTTATGGGTTAGCTAATGATTGGGCAGAGCTTCTCTTAAATTCCTTGAATTAATAATAAGTCTCAAAGCCGTTGCCAAGAACCTTTGTGTAGGTGTATTGGGTAAAGCATATCTTCATTGTTCTGTCAGGTAGTTTATAGCTCTTTTTGGTCTTTAATTTCATCTTGTACAGAGTCTCAAAGTCAGTCAGAAGTCAGAAATCAGAGCTTTCTCAAATATTTCCTGGGCATATACATTGTTCTACACATGTGTATGGTGATCTAAATTCCCACAAATATGTCAGAGCTTTTCAAATATCATCTGAATGTTTTGGGTTCCTTTCTTTTTCCTTTTTTTTTTTGTTTGTTTGTTTTGGTTTGTTTTGCCTCTTATTGGCCTTAAATAGTAATGCAACCTCAAGTTGCTGTGATGTTTAGCAATTGCTGCTGAATTTTTGATGGGGCAAGGGTAGGGGAAGAGCGCATAAAACTAGGGGGAGAGAGAGTTGTTTACAAAGAATGACCCCTGAACCAGGTCAATTAAAGATATACTCTTAGAGTTTTTAGCTAGCTTCTAGACAGGACAAATAGGGACAATCTCTGGGGATAGGATTTTTGGAGACCTGCAAACCCAATCTTTTCCTTCCCTGAGTTAGGCTAATAGTTTTTACAGCTGCCATAGTTACAAGGCTGTTGTTTTTCAAGATCTCAAAACAGGGACTAGGAGGATGGGATTACAGTGTACAAAAGTGCCACAAAACCTGTTATTCTTTCAGGGATTCGGCTGTTTTATTCTTAAATACTCTTTGGATTTTTATAAGCTTTTGGGTAATTTTTAAATACATGTAAAGTTGATTTTGACGATTATTCCAGTGGTCTCTTTCTCTTTGTGGAGGAGTAGATATTTGGATATCCTTGATTTGCTATTCTGGACATGCTTCGATACCATTGTTTTTAATTTTTTCTTAAATACTTTTCCAATAATATATATCTTAAGGGTTTGTCAATACTGTATATGGTATTTCTAAGCCACTTTTATATTACAGTGATGGACTAGCTCTCCTTAAATATTTTATAAACAGTTTTTTATTTGCTTTTTATTTTTTCCAACAATATAATATTATTTTTGTAATTCATTTGGACTGCTATAACAAAATACCATAGATTGCATGGTTCATAAACAACAGAAATTTATTCCTTACAGTACTGTAGGCTAGAAGTCCTAGATTAAGGTGCCAGCATGGTCAGGGAAGGGTCCTCTTCCTGGTTGTAGTCTTCTCTCTCTCTCTTTTTTTTTAAGATTTTATTTATTTGTTTATTCATGAGACACACACACACACAGAGAGAGAGAGAGAGAGAGAGAGAGAGAGAGAGGCAGAGACACAGGCAGAGGGAGAAGCAGGCTCCACACAGGGAGCCCAACATGGGACTCTATCCCCGGTTTCCAGGATCACTCCCTGGGCTGAAGGAGGCGCTAAACCACTGAGCCATCCGGGCTACCCCTGGTTGTAGTCTTCTCATGCTAGACGAGTCTAGGGAGCTCTGTGAGGCCTCTTTTATAAGACCACTAATCCCATGATCTAACCACATCCCAAAGGCCCTTTCTCCTAATTCCATCACATTGGGCATTAGGTTTAAACATATGAGTTTTTGGGGTTTGCAAACATTCAGCCTACAGCAATTGGTTACTTTTTCTTTTTTTAGAATGTGACATGTTCATTCATTCCACATCAAGTAGGAGTCTTTAAAGTAAAGCAGTTGATAGAGGTTATTGGCACAGTGGCAGATGAAAATTTGCAGTCTTCATCTCTGAAACCTTTTCATCAAATATATTTATATTTCAAAAGCACCTGTAAACCTTCCACCAAGAAAGTTGTGATGAAAATTAATCCTGGTAAGCTAATGTGGATACCTTTTTTTTTTTTTTTTAAAAATAAGGTTATATAGGATTATTTTAACACACCAATTGCTTAGCTATGTATATCAAATGTGGTCTGATCTTGTGGTTCTTACCTTTTGAATGCATCAAAATCACTAGAAGGCTAGTTAAAATAAATCTCACTGGTCTATATCCCATAATTGATTGTTAATTAGGTCTTTGTTAGAACCTAAAGATTTGAATTTCTAGCTTGTCCCTGACAGTTGCTGATGCTGCCATTTTGAGGATTATAATTTAAAACACTGGTTTAGTGATCTATAAAATTTATTCAATATTTTAATGGTTTTTATGCTTTGTTCTTCTACATTTTTGTTTGAGTCTATAATATAAACTAGTTTTGACCATTCCATGGGTTTTCTTGTTGCTGCTATTTCATTTAATACTCAATTATTTAAAAAAAAACTCAATTATTTTTTATACATTGAGCCACATGAAATTGCTGATATTCTTTGATCGATAAAAAATTGTGTCATATAGGCTAACCCATTCCTTCAAGTTAGTATGTTTTTTATGCATGCAATATTTTGCTAAACTGTTTTATGTAGGCCCATTTATTAGATAAATTACTTATATTTTCTGAATATGTTTGGTTAGGGATTTAGTTTTGGGTTAGAACCAGTGGTGTAGTGTATTAATACATGGATATTATTTGGAAAGCTGAAATTCTAAAAACTGTATTTAACTTAATATTCAATTCTATAAAAGGTATATCCCCTTTGGTTACTAATCCTGTGGGACAGTTTGTGGTCAGAGACTTGCCAAAATACAAAGACCGTGCACCTGTTGCAATGCTTCAATCAACCATGACACGCCTTCACAATCATCGCTTATGTAAAGAGTCAATGAAGGATGCATTGATAGCCTTTCCCAATGACCGAGCTACAAGTATCAGGTCTGAAGACCAGGATAAAATTTTCAGGTAACACGTTATATTAAAACCCAGAAAATTTGAAAGGCACACTTACCAACATGATATGCAGGTCTTAGCAGGTCCTGCTGTAACAAATTAATTATGATGATAATAATAATAGTAATAACATTTTATTTTCTCTCTCTTAATTTGTTTAACATTGGAGGTGATGGTTATTTAGTTCTACTGTATTTGCTTTGTCTGACCTCTCATTACCTGTACTGTGTACTTGAGAGGAAATGGTTTATCAGATGATTATTAAAATATGCTGTTGAAAAGTATGGAATTATAGAAATATATCAAGTTCTCAGAATAGTCATGTTCATTAGGTATGGCTGATAGTTTGAATTTATTTAAGATAAAAATAAACATTAGCAATTGTGAAAAACCAGTCATTGTCATCATCATCATCATTATGTTTGTCATCATTGTTCTCCTCAAAGTCACATTTCTTATGACCTTTTCCAAACTGAACTAAATAAAACCTCACCAATTAGGATCAAAAGTGATGTTAGACCTCAATTTAAATCGATGTAAACCTCAAAGAAATTACTACCTTACAAGTGCTTAGTGAGAAGAAATCTAGACATCCTGATTTTTACACATTTGAGATGGAAATGAGTTTCTTTTCTGCCTGCTTATGCACTGCTTTAGACATTATACTATCTAAACTTGATGATGTCTCTGGATTTTCTCTACTTCTCTTTTTGCCTTTGGTGAGTTATTGAGCTCACTTAATTTTACAGACATGTTCTTGCACTATTATTTGATTTTTAGGCCGTAATTATTTCATTATCCACAATTGGAAAATTCTGGGTTTTTGAATAGTCAGTCTTATTATTTTATTTTACAAATTTTATTCATACCAGCCTTTCTATCTCTCTTTGTTTGACAAGTACCATGAAACATAGGAGTGAAAAAATCACCCAGACTCCATTTTAAATAGTTTTAGAGTATAAAGAAGGAAAACTCATCTCTCCCTCTGACTCATTGCACTCCCTCCCATACAGAAGTATCTATTGGAAGCAGTTTTTAAATGTATCCTTTTCTGTTCTTTCCTTTTTTAAAAAAGTTTTTAAAAAATCTATTTGAGAAAGAGAAAGAGTGAGAGAGAGAGAATGAAATCACAAGCAGGGGGGAAGGGCAGGGAGAGAAGCAGACTCCCCACTGAGCAGGGAGCCCAATGCAGGACTTGATCCCAGGAACCCCGGGGTTCATGCTTATCTGACTGAGCCACCCAGGTGCCCTGTAGTTCTTTCCTATGCTTATATAAATATGCTTGTATAGACATATGTTAATTTGATATTAATATTTTTCTGTCTAAATCAGTCTTAATTATATCTAAAAATGCCAGATTTAAAAAAAATCATTTAAATTCAATTTAGGTAACTTATATTGTATTACTAGTTCCACTAGATTTTTTAAAATTTTATTTTATTTAAATTCAATTAATTAACATATAGTACATTATTAATTTCAGAGGTAGAGTTCAGTGATTCATCAGTTTCATATACCCAGTGCTCATTATATCACATGCACTCCTTAATGCCTATCACCCAGTTATCCCATCCCCCCATCCACTTCCCCTCCAGCAACCTTCAGATTGTTTCCTATAGTTATGAATCTCTTAAAGTTTGTCTCTCTTTATGATTTCATTTTATTTTATTTTTCCCTCCCTTCTCCTATGACCCTGTTTTGTTTCTTAAATTCCTCATATGAGTGAAATCATATAATTGTCTTTCTCTGATTAACTTATTTCACTTAGCATAATATCCTCTAGTTCTATCCATATCGTTACAAATGGTACGATTTTATTTTTTATGGTTAAGTAGTATTCCAGTGTGTGTGTGTGTGTGTGTGTGTGTGTGTGTGTGTGTATACACATATATGCACCATATCTTCTTTATCCATTCATCTGTTGATGGAAATCTGGGCTCTTTCCATAGTTTGGCTATTTTGAACATTGCTGCTATACACATTGGAGTGCAAGTGCCCTTTTGGATCACTATGTTTGTATCTTTTGAGTAAATACCTAGTAGTGCCGTTGCTAGGTCATAGGGTAGCTCTATTGTTAACTTTTTTGGGAACCTCCATACTGTTTTCCAGAGTAGCTATACCAGCTTGCATTCCCACCAGCAGTGTAAGAGGGTTCCCTTTTCTCTACATCCTCATCAACATTTGTTTCCTGACCTATTAATTTTAGCTATTCTGACTGGTATGGGGGATATCTCATTGCAGTTTTGATTTGTATTTTCCTGATACAGAGTGATGTTGAACATTTTTTCATGTGTCTATTGGACATTTGTATGTCTTCTTTGGAGAAATGTCTGTTCATGTTTTCTGCCCATTTCTTGACTGGATTATTTGTTTTTTGGTTGTTGAATTTGATAAGTTTTTATGATTTTTTTGAAGAAAACTGAACATTTTCTATTTACCACATGGCCAAAATTATTTTTCTCAATTTACTTTTTTCCATATTAATAGACTTACAAAATTTAAGTACTTTCTGGTTAGTATTAGTTAGTAATGAAATTTTATGATGTAGTAAATTGTTAACCATAATTGCTTTTTTATTTCCTAATCTATTTCATTAATTATTTTGACAAAAAAATAAAAGAAGTTAGGAATTTTTGTCTAATTTTTGTTTACTACAGTACGTCCTGTGTTTTCAAGTGTCAGGCATATAATAGGTATTAGGTAAATATTTTTTAACAAATAAATAAGGAAAAGTGTTTTAGTAGCATAATAAACTTTGTCCTCTGTATTTTGCACATTACAAAAAGCACCTACTCAAGCTGAAGAGGTGTTTCATGAAGTTTATTCTTTTTCTAAAATTTTTATTTTAATTCCAGTTAGTTAATATACAATGTAATATTAGTTTCAGGTGTACAATATAGTGACTCAACACTTCCTTTTTTTATTATTTTTTTTGATTTTTTTAATTTATTTATTCATGATAGTCACAGAGAGAGAGAGAGAGAGAGAGAGAGAGAGAGGCAGAGACACAGGCAGAGGGAGAAGCAGGCTCCATGCAGGGAGCCTGACGTGGGACTTGATCCCGGGTCTCCAGGATCGCACCCTGGGCCAAAGGCAGGCGCCAAACCGCTGCGCCACCCAGGGATCCCTGATTCAACACTTCCATAGATCACCTGGTGCTCATCACACCAAGTATACTCCTTAATCCCCAACACCTGTTGTACTCTGTCCCCCCCCCCCCAATCTCCCCTCTGGTAACCATCAATTTGTTCTCTATAATTAAGAGTCTGTTTCTTGATTTGTCTATCTTTTTTTCCCTTTGCTCATTCGTTTCTTAAATTCCACATATGTAAAATGATGTGATATTTGCCTTTCTTTGACTGATTTACTTCCCTTAGCATTATACTCTCTCGCTCTATCTGTGTTGTTGCAAATAGCAAGATTTCATTCTTTTTTATGAATAATATTCCATACTACATGTATACCACATCTTCTTTATCTGTTCATCAGTTGATGGACTATTGGGCTGCTTCCATATCTTCACTGTAAATAATGCTGCAGTAAACATAGGGGTACATGTATCCCTTTGAATTAGTGTTTTTATGTTCTTTGAGTAAATACCCAGTAGAACAATTGCTAGATCTTAGGGTAGTTCTATTTTTAATTTTTTAAGGAACCTCCATACTGTTCTCCAGAGTGGCTGCACCAGTTTGCATTCCCACTGAGTGCAATCGGTTTCCCCTTTCTCCACATCTCCACCAACACCTGTTGTTTCTTGTGTTATTGACTCTAGCCATTCTGACAGATGTGGGTTGATCGCTCATTGTAGTGTTAATTCACATTTCCCTGATAGTGATGATGAATGTTTTTTCATGTATCTGTTGGCCACCTGGATGTCTTCTTTGGAATAATGTCTGTTTATGTCTTCTGCACATTTTTTAATTGAATTATTTATTTTTTGGGTGTTGAGTTGTATAAGTTCTTTATATATTTTGGATATTAACACTTTTTGGGGTTTCAGATATCTTCTACCATTCCGTAGGTTGCCTTTTAGTTTTGTTGATTTTTTCTTTTGCTGCACAGAAGCTTTTTATTTTGAAGTAGTCCCAATAGCTTTTTTCCCCCTTTTGTTTCCCTTGCCTCAGGACACATATCTAGAAAAAAGTTGCTATGGCCAATGTCAATGAGCTTACTTGCCTGTATTCTCTTCTAGGATTTTTAAAAAATATTTTATTTATTTATTCATGAGAGACACAGAGAAAGAGAAAGAGAGGCAGAGACACAGGTAGAGGAAGAAACAGGCTCCATTCAGGGAGCCCGATGCGGGACTTGTTTCTGGGACTCCAGGATCATGCCCTGGGCCAAAGGCAGGCGCTAAACCACGGAGCCACCCAGGGATCCCCTCTTGTAGGATTTTTATGGGGGTTTCAAGTTTCACATTTAGGTCTTTATTCCATTTTGAATTTATTTTTGTGTATGGTGTAAGAAAATGGTCCACTTTCATTCCTTTGCATATCGCTGTCTACTTTTTCCAGCACCATTTTTTTAAAAAGGCATTCTTTTTCCTATTGTATATTTTTTTCTACTTTGTTGAAGATTAATATACCGTGTAATTGTGGGTTTATTTCTGGGTTTTCACTTCTGCTCTGTTGATCTATATGTCTGTCTTTGTTCCAATACCATACTCTTGATCACCACAGCTTTGTAATATAGCTTCAAGTCAAGAATTGTGATACTTCCAGCTTTGCTTTTCTTTTTCAAGATTGCTTTGGCTATTCAGGGTCTTTTTTGGTTCCATACAAAGTTTAGAATTATTTGTTCTAGTTCTGTGAAAAATGCTGTTGATATTTTGCTAAGGATTGCATTAAATGTGTTGATCGCTTTGGGTAGTATAAGCATTTTAACAATATTTGTTCTCCCAATCCTTGAGCATAGAATGTCTTTACATTTCTTAGTGTCATCTTCAATTTCTTTCATCAGTGTTTTATAGTTTTCAGACTACAAGTCTTTCACCTCTTTGATTAGACTTATTCCTAGGTATCTTATTAATTTGGGTATAATTGCAAATGGAATTTTTTTCTTAATTTCTCTTTCTGCTGCTTCATTATTGGTTTATAAAAATGCAACAGATTTCCGTACATTGATTTTGTGTCCTGTGATTTTGCTCAATATATGTATCAATTCTAGCAATTTTTTGGTGAAGTCTTTCAGGTTTTCTATATTTAATATCATGTCACCTGCAAATAGTGAAAGTTTTACTACTTCCTTACTGATTTGAATGTTTTTTTTATTTCTTCTTATTGTCTGTATTCTGTGTGTATTTCTGTTTTTAATTTATTAAGGAACTTCCATACCATTTTCCACAGTGGTTGTACTAATCTACATTCACACCAACACTGAAGGACAGTTCCCTTTTCTCCACATCCTCATTAACACTTGTTATCTCTTGTCTTTTTAATACTAGGATCCTGAAATATCTAAGATGACACCTCATTGTGGTTTTGATTTTTATTTCCCTCATGATTAGTGATGTTGAACACATTTTCATGAGTCTGTTGGCCATCTCTATGTCTTTTTCTGGAAAAATGTCTATTCCAGTCATCTGCCCATTTTTAAATTGGATTATTATTATTTTTTTGTGTGTTAAGTTCTTTATATATTTTGGATATTAACCTTTCATTGGAAATACCATTTGCAAATATCTTCTCCCATTCAGTAGGTTGCCTTTTCATTTTGTTGATGGTTTCCTTCACTGTGCAAAAGCTTTTTAGTTTGGTGCAATCAAATAGTTTATTTTTACTTTTGTTTCCCTTACCTGAGGAGATATATCTTGAAAAATATTGCTAAGACTGATGTCAAAGAGATTATTGCCTATGTTTTCTTTTAGGAGTTTTATGGCTTCAAGTCTCAAGTTTAAATTTTAAATCCATTTTGAGTTTTTTTTGTGTATGGTCTAAGAAAGTGGTCCGATTTCATTCTTTTGCATGTAGCTGTCCTGTTTTCCCAGTACCATTTATTGAAGAGACTATCTTTTCCTCATCGAATGTTCTTGCCTCCTTTGAGGAAGATTAATTGACTGTATGAGCATGGATTTATTTCTTGGCCCTCAATTTTTTTTTTTTTTGCCAGTACCATATTGTCTTGATTATTGTAGCTTTGTAGTATATCTTGAAATCTGAAATTGTGATACCTCGAGGTTTGTTCTTCTCAAGATTTGCTTTGGTTCTTGGGGGTCTTTTCAACAACTCTCTTTGAATAGCAAATCGTTTATTTCTCTTTTATTGCCTAACTCTCTCTCTTTTTAAAAAGATTTTATTATTTATTCATGAGAGACACACAGAGAAAGGTAGAGACATAGGCAGAAGGAGAAACAGGTTCCCTTCAGGGACCCTGATGTGGGACTCCATCCCAGGATCCCAGGATCATGCCCTGAGCCAAAGGCAGACCACTGAGTCACCCAGGTGCCTCATTGCCTAACTCTCTTAAAGACTGTTGTTCAGTTAAAATTATGTTACTGTTGTCATTGAGGGCTTGTTAAGAACAGGGGGAAATATATTTCATTTGTGTGGCTAATAGATTTATACTTGAGTTAATTATTGAGGGTGAGAATCTTAATGATTGATAACATTTGATGAGAATTGAGACAGACCAAAGTCAGAAGATGTGAATAATTATTATACATTTTGAAAAAAAATAAAAAAAATTATTATACATTTTGTTTTTATGGAAAATATATGGTGAGTGAAAGGAAGAGTATGAATTTAGATGAGTGAACATGAGATGTAAAGCAGTTGTAATTCATTTATGGATTGATTTCTCTCTATGGATTTACCATTGATGGTTAATTGCAAAAGCTTTGAGATATTAAAAAATTAATATGCTTAATAAAAGGATTTATGATTATATACATTTTACTAATTTTGATCACAATAATCTAAAAGTAATTAACTCTTAGGAAACACTAATCAGATTCAGATCTAGTCCCACATGTAAATCTAGAACTCTCCAAATGGCTTACTTGACTCATTCCTCAAGAGTAGTTTTAGGGTAGGCACCATTGAAGTCCTGTGACCTTAAGAATTTTCTCTAATTAGGTTAAGAAGAAAATTAGGAATTATTCTAGTTCTATATGTAATGATGTTTCACTATGTAAGAGGATTTGAGGGTAAGGACTATGACCTGCCCTATTCACCATTCTGTGCTTAGCCCCTTGCATAGGAGACACTCAATAGAGACTGATTGAATAAATGCAAATATATAAATATTAATGTAACTTGCTCATCTTGTAGGACGATTTTCACAAAGATTCCAAGATATAACTATGTGGATCCTGATTTTGCGTATACTAAATTTGAAAGAATTAAAAAGCAAATTCATGGAAACTATTATGCAGGATACATTAAGCATCTAAGAAGTGTGCGCCTGCAGAAACAAGCAGAGAGGTAAAGTTCACTTCCTCAAAGAGTATGAAACAGATCATGGTGCCTGGAGAGCAAGATTTTTTTCTTTACTCCTTAGTTTCTTTTTAGTGATTTAAATGACCTTTTCATATAGGAAAATGGCAAAACCTTGTACTATTTTAACTGCAGTTATTTCCTCCTTACTTTTGGTTTGGGAATGTCTTATACTGGGTTTCCCCAGAAGCAATTCTTGAGACAGGGATTCTAGCACAGTGTTCTTTTAGGAGAACCAAGAGGAGGAAAGCAGGATAGGGCAGGGGAGGGAACTGAGAAATGACGTGTTTCAGATAACACTTACACTCAGCCTGATGCTTAGGGTCTCTTGAAGCATAAATTATCCCACATAGATGTTCCTGCATTGAACCAAAGGGGCTTGTCCTTTTTTTTTTTTTTTTTTTTTTTTAGGGGCTTGTCTTTTGTGTTCTCTATCAGCCATCGATTGTGAACTGTCCTTGGGTGTGGTGGGGTGGGAATGACTTCCTTGGTGAGGTCTTTGAGAATGAGGTCTTCTCAGCAGAAGGCAGTTTTATGCAGATTAGTGCATCATTCTTGTAAGTGGTAGCACAGCATCACGTGCTATGGGCAATGTTGGGATTTGCCTGTGTATTTTCTAAAACTATTGGCCTCAATTCATTATTATTATGATTTCAATAGGGAATGCATGTATTCATATAATGATATAGACATAGGATTACAGCCAGCATCAGGTCTAAAGTCACCCTCACTCTCAGAAACGGAAATAGAAGAGGAATCATCTTCACAGTGTCGGATCAAACCTAACCAGTTACTAAATACCAGAAATATAGAATCCAAGGAGACAAAGGCTCTGAGAAGAAAGGCATGTGCAATATTTTACATTTCATTAAGCCATAAGAATTCTTAAAATATCTTTTGCTAATATTAAAAATTAATTTTGGAGTAATATTTTCCCACAGGTTCTCAAAGGACTTAAATCAGATCCATTCACACCCCATGAAAAACATGATTGCAGCTTGATTCTGACACCAAAGCAAATTCATCAAGTAATTGTTGGTAAGCATCTATAAAAAGCTATTATAGCCTTTGTTTTTTAACAGATTTATTGAAGTATAGTTTCTATTCCATAAAATTGACCCGTTTAAAGTATGGAAGTCACTGAACTTTAGTAAACTTAAGGGATTATGCAACCATAATCATAATTCAATTTTAGAATGTTGCCATCACCCTCAGGACCATATGCATTTACTCTCAAATCCCACCCTTAGCCCCAGGCAACCATTAATGAATGTTCTCTCACTTTGGATTTGCCTCTTCTGAATAAAAGGAATCATATAATATGTAGTCTTTCTTATATTGAGGCTTTTACTTAGCATAATGTTTTTGAGGTTTATCCAATAGGTATAAATAGGTATAAATATTTTGTTCCTTTTTATGTCTAAATAGCACTTCATTTTATGGGAATACCACATTTTGTTTATCCATTTACCAGTTGATGGACATGAGCTGTTTTCAGTTTGAGGCTATTGTGAATGATGTTGCTATAAATGTTCATATACAATTCTTTGAGTGAACATATGTTTTCATTTCTTTTGGTTAGATTGCTAGGAGTGGAATTGCTGAGTAGTATGTTAGATTTCTAACATTTAAAGAAAGTGCCAAAAACTTTCCAAAGTGCACCAAGTTACAATCCCACCAATAGAGCGCCAGGGTTAAAGTTACTCCACATTCTCACCAACATATGTTATTTTCTCTCTTTTTTGATCATAGCCATCTTGGTGGTGTGAAATGTTCTCACTGTGGTTTTGATTTGCATTTTCCTTGTGACTAGGATGTAGAATATATTTTCATGCATTTTAAAAAAGATTTTATTTATTTATTTGAGAGAGAGAGAGAGAGAAGGGGAGAGAGAGAACACAAGCAGGGGGAGGAGCAGAGGGAGAAGCATACTCCCTGCTGAGCAGGGGAGTCCTGACATGGGGCTCTATCCTAGGACCCTAGGGTCACAACCTGAGCAGACGCTTAACTGACTGAGACATCCAGGCACCCCTATTTTCATTCATTTAAATAGACGTGCATCTCCTTTGGAGGAGTGTTTTTCAAATTCTTAGCCCAATTTTTAATTTGAATATTTGCCTTCTTATTGTAGAGTTGTAAGTATTGTTTATATATCCTGGATACAAGTCTTTTTATCAGATATTTGATTTCCAAAGCCTGTGGCTTTTTTTTTTTTTTTTTTTTTTTTTTAGTTTTCAAATAGTGTTTAAAGTACAGAAGTTTTTACTTTAAGCAAAATTTAATTTGGGCTACCTGGTTGGCTCAGTCGGTTAAGCATCTACCTTTGGCTCAGGTCATGATCTCAGGTCCTGGGATCAAGCCCCACATTGGGCTCTCTGCTCCATGGAGTCTGCTTCTCCCTTTCCTTCTGCTGCTACCCACCGCTTATGCTTTTTCTCTCTCCCTTTTTCTCCCTCTTTCAGATAAATAAATGAAATCTTTAAAAGAAATAAATTGAATTTATCAATTAAAACTTTTTTATTACAATTTTTTTCTTTTATAGATCATGCTTTTGATTTCATACCCAAGAAATCTGTAACTAACTCAATGTCACAAATATTTTCTCTTGTTTTCTTCTAAAATGTTTATAATTTTATATTTAGGACTACAACTCCTTTTGGGTTAATTTTTATATTGTGAGTTAAGAGCCTAAATTCATATTGTTTTATGGGGATATTCAATTGTTCTAGCACCATTTGTTGAAAATACTGTCATTCCTCATTGAATTGCCTTAGCACTCTTGCTGAAAATCAATCAACTATATGTATCAGCATTTATTTCTAGAATCCACTTCTATTCCATTGATCTGTATGTCTATCCTTATGATAGGTCTATAACTGTCTTTGATACTGTACCTTTAGAGTAAGTTTTGAAATTGGTTAAGTGTAAATCCTCCAAATTTGCCTTTTTCAAGATTGCTTTGGCTATTATGGATATGAATCAGATCTTTTTTTTTTAAAGATTTTATTTATTTACTCATGAGACACAGAGAGAGAGAGAGAGAGAGAGAGAGAGAGAGAGAGAGGCAGAGACACAGGCAGAGAGAGAGAGAGAGAGAGAGAGAGAGAGAGAGAGAAGCAGGCTCCATGCAGGGAGCCCAATGTGGGACTTGATCCTGGGACTCCAGGATCACGCCCTGGGTGGAAGGCAGATGCCAAACCACTGAGCCACCCAGGCATCCCTGAATCAGATCTTATTAAGACCCACTTTGTGTGTTTTGCTTCTTGATCTCTTGCTTGCCCTAATCAGTATTGAAAGCTCAGGTCATGATGTTGACCTTCTCTAAATGTTTGCCATCGAGGTAATTATTATTTTGACAACATCCCTAGGCAAGAGTTAAGAAACAAGTGACAATTCCCTTTGGAGAGGTTGAACAGTGTCCCTTCCTAGGTCATTTTCACCAAGCCTATTAAAGAATGATTATGGTTAAATAATAGTCTATAATAGTCTGAAGAAGAAGTTTGCATTTCATTGTAGATAGGGTTAGAGTGGCCCTGAAGGAGATCTGGGTAGACCATGATTAATTGGTATGAATGTGCTGATTCTCCCTCTAGGGAGAACCCAGTACACAAAACATCAAATACCATTTCTTTTATTATCCAGGCTAAAGGTGATAGCCAATGAGGTGCAAGGTCAGAGGCAACAAATAAGAAGTACTTAAATTTCTGGTTGGTGATGGCCTATTATGACTGGTTAGTGGTCAAATCTCAGATAAGTGAGTTCCGTGGGAAATGCCGAAAACAGGATCTGACTCTGAGAAAAGCAGGTGACATAGACTGGTAAAAAGAGTTGGAATTTCCTATAATTCACAGAGGGTTCTGAATGGGAAATAGAACTCAGTGCTGTAATAGCACTGGAGCCAAACCTCCCTGCTACATAGTGACAGTGAGGCCCCTGGGCGTGCCAGACTGGGAACTCATTAGTTCCTTGCCTGTCTGGGGTTGTGTATGCAGTTCATTTCAGGTTAAACATCGTTTACTGTGCCTTTCTTTAGTGCCAGGCACATGACAGGTATTGGGCTTTATAGACCCAGGGACTTACCTTTCATTATTGGGTGGTAAATGCTTTGTGTCTTCCAAAGTGGTAACTGATTAACCAGATAAGCAAATCTATAGACATTCAAAAGGAACAAAGTTAGAAGACAGTGTGTCCAGTGTCTCCTCTGCAACTCCTCCACCAGCTTCTCTCTCTTCTTCACCTGGTGTCCTGATTTTGTTAATAATGACCCTTTCTCTGGGGAAAGGGCCCTTGGGTGAGTTTACAAGGTCAGCAACTCTGATGGTGGGAATTTTGTAACACTCTTATTTTTATACCTTGAAAGTGTTTTTTGAGCCTCTGCACAGAGCAGGGACTGGTACTGTCAAGATTACAGTTTCAGAAAATTTTGCTCTGTATTTATATTTTAAAAAAATAAGGTGGGTCCCTCTGGGTGGCTCAGTTGGTTCAGCATCCAACTCTTGATTTGGGCTCAGGTCATGATCTCAGGGTTGTGAGATTGAGCAGCATATCAGGCTCCACCCTGGGCTTGGAGCCTCCTTCAGATTCTTTCTCTCCTTTTCTCTCTGCCCTTCCCCCCATTCCCTCTCTTTCTTTCTCTCTCTCTCTCTCTCAAAAAAAAAAGTAATTGTCAAGAGACACAATAGAGGATTTAGAGATTAATTGAATCAATTTGTGAAAACTGTTAGAGTCTAGGTTACATTGGATGTTGTGCAAAGAGTATTGTTTGCTTCATCAGCAAATATCCAATCACTTTGGTTTTAGTTACCACTTATAAGCCAAGCATTATGTTGAATAATGTATAAACATGATCTTATTTAATCATGATGTAAGCAACTTCAAATGATGTAAGCAACTTATAAGGTAATTGCTATTATTATCATTTTAGAGATGAGTAAAAAGAAGCCTAGAGAAGTGATAAGCCTTGATCAAATTGCTCAATATTTCGTGGAAAGGAGTAGATTTGAAATTAGATTTGAATCTAATCATACTTTTTAAAAAAGATTTTATTTATTTATTTATTCATTCATTCATTCATTTGTTCGTTCATTCATTCATTTGGAGAGTATGGGCAGGAGGAGGGGCACAGGGAGAGAGAGAGGGAATCTCAAACAGATTCCACACTGAGCACGGAGCCCAACTTGGGGCTCCATCTCATGACCCTGAAATCACCACCTGAGCTGAAAGCAGGAGTCAGATGCTTGACCTACTTTGCCACCCAGGCGCCCCCTACCTACAATTTCTATCTCAATTTCTCTTTCTATTACTCTTTTACAACCTGTATTTTTCCCTGCAGTATTTGTCTCAGCTTTTTCCCCAACTTCCTTTATGTCAACCTCACAGTATTGTTAAATCAGAATCTAGAATTATGTATCTGTTTTCATAAAACATACTAGTCTGCATTTTTGCTTTTTTAGAGTTTGTTTTTACTATATTTGTTTTGGTCTTAGAGTAATGTTGGCCTTATAAACTGAGTTCAGAGACTTAGGAAGTTTTCATTCCTTTACTATATTCTGAAAGAAATTATGTAGAATTCTATTGTTTTTGAATTGTTAGAGTTCTTTGGAGAAACCATCTGGGAAAGGAGAGTTCATTTTTTAGAGGATTTTTATTATTTTTATTTTATTATTCTTTTAAAAAGATTTTATTTATTTATTCATGAGAAACACAGAGGGAGAGAGAGAGAGAGATGCAGAGACACAGGCAGAGGGAGAAGCAGGCTCCATGCAGGGAGCCCGATGTGGGACTCGATCCCGGGTCTCCAGGATCAGGCCCTGGGCTGAAGGTGGCGCTAAACCTCTGAGCCACTGGGGCTACCCTCAGAGGATTTTTAAAAAAGATTTTATTCATTTATTTGAGAGAGAGAGAGAGAGAGCATAAACAGGGGAGTGACAGAAGGAAGAGGGAGAAGCAGGTTCCCTGCTGAGCAGGGAGCCCTACACTGGGGTTGATCCTAGGACCCTGGGATAATGACCTGAGTTGGAGGCAGATGGTTAACTGAT